CGGCTCTAATAATTTTTATAGTGCTGTTTGTATACTACAAAGTTTTTAAATTCTGGAATCTAAAATAATATAACATTAAATGGATAGTTATTGTATTGAACCATTACCCAATTAAAAATCTAAAAAGTTGGCGATCGTAAATCGAGTACTAAATTTCTGATTCTTCAAACATATTTGTACCTTCATAAATTAATCTAAATTACTCATTTTAAGACACTTCTCTACTGCTTAAGTAACGCGTAAAACACTTGACATTGGCCCAATCCGATGAGGGAGAGCCATAAACAAGAAACAGAACAGAAGTAACGCGTAAAAAACTACGTCTATGGTTATAAAACTTTTCTTTCTTGATTAATACATCGACTGGCTCGGAAGAAACTCAATACATTGATAATACGCTGAAAAGCTTTGTCTAACGAAAGTCGGGGATAATCCTCTATTTATCGCAACAGCCCCAACCTTCCGACTTGCGCTCACTTCATTAATCACATATCAGTTAACAGAGTCCGTCTTCGCATTAGGCTTAAGTGGCGGATTGGATAACGTGTTAATCTTGTACACGATACAAAGAAACAATACACTTATCTGCTTTATTATGTTAACAATAGCAGAAAAATAGTAAATTTTTATACGTAGCTTCTAATGTGTACATTTGGTCATTAAACACGATCTTAACCTAAAACTATTGCAAAGTTTTTGACTATATTATCAACTAGCTGTCGCTCGCGACTCCGTCCGCGTGGATATATAAAAAACTTAATTAGCGTAGCCTATGTGTTCTTTCAGACTATGTTGGGATCCGTTCTAGAAATATTTTCAAACACCCATCCATCCACAAACATTCGCATTTATAATATTAGTAAGTTAAATAAAAAGCAACTCTTCAAGGCATAAATTCGAAAAGAAATGAATAAATAGTATCCTATGCCCGTCTCCTGGCTCTAAGCTACCGCCTCAGCAATTTTCAGCCATATCGGTAAAGGTCGGTTGAGTTATAAATAGTGTAACTAACACGACTTTATTTTATATATAAAAATAAAACCGTAGTAATAAACACAAATAATTAATATATAACCACGTGACTCGAACCACTATGAAAAAAATGTGGATGCCCGTATAAGGATAGAGGACAACAATATTTGAACGTAAAACTTTTGATGCTTAAACTAATCATAGTTAGCATATAATACGTGTAAAAAAGTGCACAAAATAACCTAAAATATAAAATAACATTCATTGAACTTAGGTAGACGAAAAGCTATAATAAATCCATAAGACTACATGCTGCTTTATTGATTTCAAACCCCGTACTGAAGACGTGATCTGTAAACGCACACAGAGGGATGCTGCTCGAAGGCATTGGGGCACATAAAAAGGGTACTTTCGGTTGATTTTCTTCTAATCCCCTTCTCAGAGTCATAATTACTAAGGTACTCGCAACAGTTTTTGTACGCAAGTGAAATGTGTTGATACTTTTTTTATAAAATAAAACTTTAAATACTTCTCTACTTATAAACTCCTTGGTGATTCACTTATAAAAGTTTATTAAAATTTTTATGCAACATTTTATAGACAGTTTTCAATAATGTCACTATTATAAAACAAGTAAGGGAATATGTAACAGTTATTATACCTATGTCATATCTTCTAAATTGCATTTTTTTCTATTTTTTTATTTATGCATGTATTAGATTGTACATAATTAATTATCATCTATTTAAGTTAGTAGTCATTAACACTTCAAGTATCTAAGCTTCGAGGTAGAGGCTTTCACCGTTACTAAGTAGAACTCGATCGACTGCAGTCCACTTACAAGCCAAATAAAGCATTTCAAGATCGTCGTGTACCGACAAGAACAGACATAAAAACTGCTTCAACCCGCGTGCAGGTAAACGCAGACGCAACCTGTCCGCAAGCCTTGTTTTAACGGAAATTGCTTACCAAATTACCCTATACCACTTCGATTGAGGTATTATGTAGCTTAATGCCACGTAATAAAGTTTAATTTTGATTACCAAATCGATTAAAAAGTAATTTAAAAAGGCAATGCGTGAAAAAATTGTAGGATTAATAATATCGAAGCTCTTAATAGGTTTCTTTCCTTGATGACTACGCACATACACCTTTAAGTAGTATCCATACGAGGCATTCTTTGGTTGGAATCCTTTGCTCATCGTTAATTTTATGGGTTTTTAAAAGGCTACATCGATTTAGTTTTAGTATTAACCTTTCTAAAAAATACATATCACATATGTTTTAATCTCTATTAAACTAGCTGTTGCCCGCGGCTCTGTCTGCGCAGAATTAAAATTAGAAGCCTGTTTTCTTCCAGACTATGTTCTAAATCCATGCCAAATTTCATCGAGATCCGTTGAACCTTTCTCGAGATACCTTGTAATAAACATCCAGACATTCGCATTTATAATATTAGTAAGATAACTCAATTGTAACTAATAGTGTTACTTCAATTTACGCATAATCAAAAAGCTTTAAATTTCTTTGTACCTAGATAAAAATAATTCCAAAAAAACCATGACTCACATCAAGATTTTATTCGAATCTGTCTCTACTACAATCGAATGCAAAAATGTAGAGGTCATAGGATTAAAATGTTTTTCATCTGTATTCATTTTGGATGCTACTATACCTACGAAGTTCGAAGCGGAGTCTGTCCAATCCCTTTTGATGCATTCGGTTACTATGAAAGTATCGAGCTTTTTCTTTTTACTCTTGTTTATTCATTTATTCCGTTTTGGCACATTGAAGTGGACGAATTGGAATAAATTCGATGTAATTTTTGAGCAAGAATTTTCAACGCAGATTATTATCGAAAAACAAATGATTCGTTTACGCGAAGTAACTACACCAATAAATACGATAAAATATTTTTAAAATAATCATTTTCGCTTTTAATTCATACATATAAAGTATGTAGTCGATAAAAATATGGCATTCTACTAAAAAACTAATAGGTATTATATCAAAATGAATACAAAATTATTTCTAAAGCCTACATTGAACATAAATTAAACCTAAATTCAGGAACATTTAAGGCGATGCAACTGTAATAAACGAGAGAGGCTTGTTACCCGCGCAGACACCACTCTGAGAGCTATCTGCAATAGTTTTGTTTGATTCCATCCCCTTAATTGGTAACGTAGAGTGCTCCGAGGGCGACGCTACACTTGACAATGCATATTTACTGACGATTATTTCGAGAGCATTTCGTGTCATTGTTTTCGTTACCTTAGCAATATACAGGGTGGAAATTTAACGTAAAAATTGCTACATTTTAACGCACTGCTGTAAATTATTTACAATATATCTTGATTATATAGAGTATCGTTTTTTCGGTATTAAGAAATGATTACGCTATTTTAAGACGAGATAAAACATCGCGTTTAAAATAGTTTTAAATTATAAATTCGTGTGTTATGGTACATCGCAACGTCTCATAAAATATATAGAAAAAATACACAGAAAATAAAAGGCAGAAAAAAAAAACAGGAAAAACTTCATCTTTCGTTTTATCCGTACCATTTCTATTGGAAATATTTAAGCTCGTATCCATTGTGCTCTGAAGCTCATTCTATGTATTGTCCGTACGTGAATCGGGGACATTTCCCCGCCACCAAATTCATTGGTCACAGCCATCGTGGCCAGTAATGGCACACGTCGAGAATAAATGTAGAGCTTTTTAAATGTAGCACTTTATCTGGAGCTCTTGTTAAAATGGTCAATTCGTGCGGCCACGTAATTTGTACGCGATTCAGATATCAAAGTGCAAGATTTATAAATGCCATTTAAATGTAATACGTTTTACTTTGCTACTGACCACAATTTACAGTTAGCGGTAGAAACACTGTCTTTATTTAGTAGAAAGAAATCTAGCACTGGCTATTCTAATAGGATAAAGAGACAACTGGTCGACTACACATATTGTTGTTGTATATGCTAACAGTTGCACGACATTCCGTTTAATTAATTCGTATATCTTTACTATAGATGTGTTCTAATCGTACTTTAAAATTTACGTATTTTTACATAGCGTACTAAAATATAGCTTATCTCTCTCTTGTGTTCACTTTGTTATATCTTTCTTCTCACTCTTGTAACAAAATGTGACACGGCCTTGAAGATTCATGATTCAATTTCAACTATAAATTCTCCACTTAGGATCACTTTAACAGTAACAAAATAAGTGTGATTTGGAAAATATAATTTATTAGAAGTATCATTTATTATAAGCCGTGTCCAGTAATTGATATTGCATGCGCCGTGTGGTAGCTATTAGCAGATTGGGGACGTCCGCCCTCTCCCTTCCCCAGCTGTCTGAATATCGTTCGCATGACAAATGGTAGGCGAGACAAGGGGCTTATTTATGGATACCATAGACACGAGTACGCCTAATGACTACACGTCGCTAAGCCTTAACGACGTTTTCAAATTACGGGTATTAATAAAAAAAAAATTTAATTAAACTTTGTACTAGTGTTCGTTATCAACAGATTATTGGCGCATCATTCATTCGAAATGCATAACTGTTTGTAACGTTTTTTTTTTTAATTTTTTCTGTTCTTCGTTTGGGACAGCAGAGCAAAAGCTAGTTGCATATGTACTAAAATATTTTTATGTTCTATTCTAGTATTCGACCTCATAATAATTTAAGATAAGTGCCTCTAAATGAGTAGTCGTTTGTCAGAGCCACGAATGTTACTTCAAGTTTTCATCCGTTGCTATGACAACGACGAAGTAAACAGTTTTATAAATTACTTGTCAAATGACGTCATAAAATAGGCGCCAGTAGGCGCAATGTTACAGTATTATAATTTTCTGAAACATTCTTATTTTTTTTGATAGTCGACTTTATTAAAGATAACCGAGTACCGATTCTGGTTATGTGTCGCGATGACTTAGCGACATTTCAAGTAGTCAAGTCATTCCAATTACCAACGCAGTATGTTTACAAACAGCTGAATCACATGTATCTTTGTTACAGATGGGAAACGACAGCAGATGGTGGATGAGGCGGCGCTGCTGTAGGTGAACAAAGGTAGCATGGCGAGGGCGCGGGCCTGGGCGCTCGCCTTCTTCATCGCCTGGGCGGCGACGCTCACCCGGGCCTACCTCATCCTCGTGCCCGACACCGCGCCACCTGGTCATCTCGTGCTCGACGCGGCTGTCTACAAGCTTGGATCCGAACGCACATATACTATAGATGTACATCGCACCGCAAACTTCGTCCATCATGTCCTCCGAGTGAATAGGACATCGGGTCTCGTCACCCTTAGGAAAAGACTACGGTGCGATGGAGTCCTCTATCCCAATCTCTTCACTTTTTACGTCGACTCGACTTCAGAACGAATACGCGATATAGATTACTATAGCCTTCCTATAAGAATACTAGTTACGGGAGAAGACTGCAGTAGAAGACACGCTGATCTCTATGACATCGACTTCGATCGGGTCTATGACCAAGATGATGCCGCCTTACAATACGAGGATGATCATACCAGAGACAAACGTGAGACTCACTATTACAAACCAGAGATTATGGATTGGAGGTTAATAGAAGAGGAAGAAGAATTACTTTCTAGTCAATATAAAGTGCTATCGACAGCGTATCCGTGGACGAGCGCCGTTTTCGAGGACTTTGCAGCGAGGAATAGAAGTAGAAATAAAAGATCTCTGCCATTACCTTTCGATATGGCCATAGATGTTAAGATAGCTGAGGCTAAGCAATGGATCTCCGAAACGTATGCCAGTTTCTCGATACCAACTACGGATCGGTGGCAGGGAATATGTCTTAAGCAATCTCAATTTATAAATTCTTTAACAGCATTCCTCCCGCGAACTGTGCAAAAATTTTGTAAAGTTCAATTTCTGGATGTTAGCGACCCTAGGTTCTTGATCGAAAGCAGTCAGGGTGATCTTGTAGCGAGTAGCGATATGTGCATACAAGAGCCAATGTGGAAGGTCTCTGTCTTATTCACTTTCAACTGTGACAAATCGAACATCGTAGACTCCGACCACAGATTGAAAATAGTTTACCATCATCAGGAACTAAACGATACAGATATAGCTCGTAGAGTAAAGAGAGAACTAAGAAACCAGTCTCCTTACTTCGAGCAAGCTCTCTACGTGGCTTCTGTTGCTGAGGAACAGCCACCAGGAGTCGTTGTTTCAACTGTCAGAGCTCGGTAAGTGTCGCACAAATTTACCGAAACAATCTCAAATCATGATGCTTATTTTAAAAACGTATACTAAAAAACTGAAGCAATTATACAACTTGTGGTAATTTTACTTTTAGTTAAGTATTTATTTGTACATTGACTCTGAAAGCGATAAAATTAAAAATGTTAAATTTACCTTTAGATACGAAGCACTTAGGTGGTTTCGTATCCAGCCTTAAGGGAATTGACTATAAAAAGAAATGTCACGACTATAAAATTATTTTCAGTAATACTTCCCCCCAATGCCACTAACAGGCGTTGCAGCTAACCGCTCCACCCCGCTCAATGATCCGTGAATGCCAGGATCATAACGACTTAGCAGGATTCACATTATTAAACCTTTCACCGTAATACTGCCGCCAAAACGGGGAATAGTTTGCAGTGATCCTCTTAAGAAGACGATTAGAGTCTAACCTAACTATGTATGAATGAACGGATTAGAAGTCTATTACGACTAGACTCGAGCTGAACATATAAATTTTCTAAAAAAAGATTATATCGTGCGGTATCTCTTGGTTAACTATCCACGGTAGAACTTTTTCTTTTTAATCTTTTAAAGTTGTCTACTATTAGATGGCAATCAATATGAGCAAGTATCGGAAAAGATGCATAAATATTGTCATTAAAGCCACCAGATATATGGAACCTTGAATGTGAAACGTACTATGCACGGTCCGAAAGATACAAACTAGCCGCGCCGTCAATTGGCTTTAAGCTTGTTAGGCTTTTATGATGTCATCCATTTCATGACGTCGACGTCACGAGCCGGCGCATTGTTGCCAGACAATGGCCACCAGACCATAAAACTAAACTAGCTTAATTCATATTGATGATATTTGCATCATGCGCCCGTCTGACATACAACTGTATATGTATGATTAAGTAACTCTACCATTTATTGCTAAAACAATGGTTCATTCTCATGATTCTCCACGATTCACGAGTCTTGTCTCATAAGACTGTACAAAAGACTCTTTCCTTGACTACTATCATTCCCGAACGCTAAACGTTCTAACGATAAAATTTGACCAATGAACTTCGTCAACATTTATCTTGAAACCCATATTAGGAACCGTTACCTCCATTACACATGTTAATTAAACTAAAAAAATTAATGGACGACAATTAAATTTGCCACACTTCCTTAACAGGGACCCTGAGAATAGCCCAGTTACGTATTCAATGTCAAGCTTGTTGGACTCTCGCTCGGCGGGCATGTTCGCGGTAGACACCAGGTCGGGCGTGGTGACAACGCAAGCGAGGCTTGACAGAGAGAGGCTGGACGTGCACTACTTCAGAGTGGTCGCGCAAGATGATACCTTCCCACCTAGAAGTGGCACTACTACATTACAGGTAAGATAGGAAAATACAATATATGTTTTTTTAAATTAACTAGGCTTTTAAGAGCGGAAGTAATCCTTGTAAAATGATTTTACTACATTATACGTATTTCCTTACTAGATAAACGTATTGGACTGTAACGACCACGCGCCAGTGTTCGAAATGCAGCAGTACGAGGCGTCAGTACGCGAGGGCGCCAGCGCCGGCACCACCGTCCTCACGCTTAAAGCCACCGACCAGGATATCGGCAATAACGCACAGGTACATGCTTATAAGATGCTATATCGATGTAACCATCTTTTAAATCTCTTCGTATTGAAATAAATGATTGTTTATTTTTAAGATTTTGGGCCGTGTGGCTGCGTCATTACCATTTAAACATAAACTCAATATAACTAAGTTTCGTAAACAATGAATAGTACAAATAATCTTATTATCTGCAGGTTGAATATACAATAGACTCAGTATCAGCGGACAGTCTCAATCCGGAAGAAATGAATGAATCTATGGAAGGTGATAACGAACAAGCTAGTACACCAGACGTGTTCCGAGTGGATGGCAGGAGCGGCGCACTACTCACGAGGGCGCCTCTCGACAGGGAAAAAGTCTCCAGATATACCGTTATTGTAAAAGCAACGGATCAAGCAAGCCCTGTATCCGATAGGCTCTCCAGCAGGTAATAATCACTTGAAATGTGATATAAATAATTAATTTCCGACGATGAAAAAACAAATTGAAGAATGAAGAAAAAACTAAAAATTTTCGATGATATAAACATACCAAAGAATGTAAAAAAAAACATAAGTACACTGATACGGTACCAGCATAAGAGTCCTAACAAAATGAAGTCTCCAACTTTATTAAGTACCCGCTAATTATTTTGCTATTGCATAAAATATATACTCTGTTGTGTTTCCAGTGCTACAATCCACGTGAACATAATAGACGACAACGACAACTACCCTCAGTTCAGCGAGAAGACGTACACTGTCACTGTCGACGAGGATATCAGCGTCTCCGAAAATCCAATCATAGCCAAGATCAAGTAAGATTATTTATTATTATTTGAAACGGTGATTCAAAGAGTACCTGTTCCATGCTTTAGCTACAATGTTCCATGCTTTAGCTAAATTTTAAATCGTGTAATCTACTTCTATAAATAAAAGAGAAAATTTCCTCCTAGATAAGAATGAACCAGCGCATTACCTTATGAAGTTTTACAACAGACTTCCATTAAAGATCCTTTAAAATATTCTTCGCACCAAGATAAAATTCAAATAGATAGTGTTTATTCGTTGGCCGTCTTGAAAAGTTTTATCGTACGTTAGAACTCCTGCCGCGCTTGAACGTCGAAATTTATGCGTCCATAATAAATTGTTGCTTACAACTAGGATATTACGCTTCGTATGCATTGCGTTTGCGGCTTTGTACAAATCTGTTCAATTTATAATAGCAGCAGCTACCGGTATTAAAACTTACACAATTTATCATGCACATAAAACAAATCGAGTACTCACAACATGGGAGGGGCTGGAAAGAGGAATAGCTTCAATAACTTTAAAATGTATGATAACCTTAGTCTAGCGAGATGAAGTGTTTTACGCTACAAAGATTACAAGTACCCTGTATATGATTTATAAATTGTCGTACATCATTTTACTAGGTTTATAAAAGTAGTATCAAAAAAAAGATATGAGAAATTGTATTGCAAAGGCAAGTACAAAAGGATTATAATTAAAATTAACTTACGTGAAATTATTTACAATCGTACCTTTTATAGACTAAAGTTTACTTTATTGGTACTGTTATAAAAGTCCCATTAATGTATCCGACAGGCTGCAACTTACATAAATAGTTTAAACTATAACACACTTCTACCAGTGTCTATTCTTTATTTCATGTCTTTTAAACTAACTTTAAAGTCCACGAGTTAGTGGAAAATGTCTGGGAGAGTTTCCGAGACTAACATAGTTTACGTATAAACACTCGTTGTACTAAAAGCTTTCTCAAAGTAACAATATGTTTTACACCGAGTAAACGATAATTGGACATCGCTTGTATTTTCTTTTCAAATATATTGTTTTACGTGTCTTGCAATTTTATCTTGTTTTGCTTATCGAACTTAGAGTATTTAAGTGCTTATTACCCTTAGTGCATATTTATAAATAATCTATATTTAAATAGACCCTACCCTTTAAATAACTATATAACGACTAACCATGGGTTTCTAAGATCGAAATCCCCATTTAAAATATATTGTAATCTCTGTTTTGTCAAAGATAATGACAGGAATAATTTACAAAGAGATAAACGGTCTCTGAAACCAACGATAAGTATGGCTATTAGCTTTAGATACAACACAGCGCACAACTTTCTATGTTATCAGGGCAAGTGATGCAGACGTAGGAGCCAATGCTGCGATTCGCTACGCTATTATCGGCGGTAATACCCAGATGCAGTTCTCAATTGACAGCCTCAGCGGAGATGTGGCGCTAGTCAAACCTCTAGACTATGAACAAGTTCGCAACTATCGTCTAGTGATAAGGGCACAAGGTTTGTATACAGCTTATGTACTACTCATCATTTTGCAGTTAACTGGAGGGATATTTCAATTAAAAAAGTATATTACATCTTTTATAATCCTAGCAATTGGGTTTAAAAAGAAAATTGTGGAAAACTGCCAGCTACTACAGACTTAGTATAATACAATTACAAACATAGCAAAAATTAGCTACTAAAAACAGACCACCTCAAAGGATTTTCCGAAATTATGGAATATTTGTAACAAAACGTAAATTTATGTTTCGATCAAAAGCAAGCATGTTATGTGTTTGGTTTTACCTTAATTGCCGTCGTTAGACGACGCATTGTCACGCGATATATTTGACGTTAACAAATGACTACAGATGGCGGCAGTCCGTCGCGGTCAAACACAACACAGCTGCTGGTAAACGTGAAGGATGTCAACGACAACGCGCCAAGGTTCTACACCTCACTGTTCCAGGAGTCCGTCAGCGAGAACGTGCCCGTCGGGTATAGCATTGTCAGGGTGAGTTATGGAGTCACAATAACGGACAAATGAGTCTTGAAACTGCTTGTATTTGCCTTGTTTTTCTACTGTCTACCATTTAAAGTACACGTAATCTTTAAATATATCCATCTCCAAGTTTAACATACAATTTATTTTAGAGCAGACCAAGTTCTTGTTGTAAGAAAGATGCAATCAAAACAAGAGTTTTTTCTTTCCTAGGTGCAAGCTTACGACGCGGACGAAGGTGTGAACGCCGAGCTGACATATACTCTAGCTGACAAAGAGTACATCGGCAACAACGACCTGCCGATCACCATAGACCCACGCTCCGGCTGGGTTTACACTTCCGCACAGCTTGATAGAGAAGTTCAACCTAAATACCAACTGCAGGTAAACTATAATACATGAAATGTTACTCGATAATGAATGATGAGGTTTGTAAATCTTTGAAAGGAACTATCGTCAACTAAGGAATTGTAGAATTCAAGAGAAATATTTCTGATTTACGCATTTTTCTACTAAGAAAGTAGACCTCAAAGATAAAATCTTTGCTATGTAATTGTATGAATAAGGTTATAATAATTTTATTGTAAATTTTAAGTTAATTAAACTTTACAATTCGTACACAGGTAACAGCAACAGACGGCGGAGTGCCACCACGTTCAGCCACAGCGTCAGTAGTAGTTGTGGTGCAGGACGTTAACGATAACGACCCGGTCTTCTCACCGCCGCAGTACGAAGTAGAACTGGCGGAAGATGAACCTCCTGGTACTCCTGTTGTCACTGTCACCGCAACTGATGCTGATGAGGATAACAGGTAAACATGGCATACTAAACTAAGTAAGGAACATGAATTACACAAGTTTCATTTGTAAAATTTTTGGAGTTGTATCATATACCATAATATTATTTCGTTAAGTAAAGTTGCACTGCAGTATAGCTGGCTATAAACCTGAATATTTCGCCACTGAACAATAATAAAAATGAACGTACAAAGCAGTAATCTAGCCTTTTTTTTAGGTTGCATTATGAGATCACTGGTGGAAACACACGAGGCCGTTTCTCGATCACATCTCAGAACGGTCGTGGTTTGATCACGGTCGCTCAGCCGCTGGACTTTAAGCAAGAGAGACGCTATGTCCTCACCGTCACCGCGACTGACCCCGGAGGCCGCGCTGATACCGCCATGGTTCATATCAACATCACTGATGCTAATAACTACGCACCGGTCTTCGAAAATGCGCCCTACACTGCTTCCGTGAGTTACTATATATTTATTCATAACGTATAACTATCTTCTAAATATGTCAGTCATTGCTATTTCAAAAGTTGTGTTCAAATGTTTTGACGCTACATGTTACTTTAGAAAATGTTTGAGCAGTAAAACATGGTATAAATTCCTTGATGGTTCAAATATAAAAATTTGGTTCTTACCATAAATATGATAAAATCTTACACTAGAACCACATAGAACTTTTAAAATTATATCAGGTATTCGAGGACGCGCCAGTTGGTACAACAGTACTCGTTGTGTCGGCGACAGACAGCGACGTTGGCGTGAACGCGCAGATCACGTACAGCCTCAGCTCGGAAATCTCCAATGAGGCGGTAGCACACCATGACCGAGAGTTCCTCATCAACCCTCACACCGGTGCTATAACAACGAACAAGTTGCTCGACAGGGAGTCGATGAGCGGTGAGTCGCTAGTACATAATGAAAATTCTGTAATATAAATAATTACATTTCAATTACTAAATAACGAACAGTAACGCTGTACTCATGTGTACAAAAAAGGAAATTTTATTTATTTCTTCCAGGGTATCTTCTGACTGTAACCGCTCGCGATGGCGGTGTTCCGTCTCTTTCTGACACAACGGATGTCGAGATATCAGTTGTAGATGTCAACGACAACGCGCCAGTGTTTAAACAACAATTGTACACATCCAGCATTATGGAGGATGCTCTAGTTGGTAAGAAATCTACATCAGTAATTGGTGTAATTTCACTACAAAAAAGATATCTAACTGCACTCACCAACTTAATAGCACCTGGATTATTCATTCCATAGGTATTATATTAATTCTGCATTAATTTGTCAGGTACGTCAGTGACGCAGGTGAGCGCGTCAGACGCGGACGTGGGTCTGAATGGGCGTGTGCACTACGAACTAGCGGCCCGAGAACGCGAGGAGGGCTCCTTCGCACTGGACGCGGCGTCCGGCGTATTGCGTACTAATAAGCCACTCGACAGAGAGTCTGTTGCTATCTACGACCTTAAAGCTCTTGCGATTGATGGCGGCACCCCGCCTCAGAGCTCCAGTGTTAGTACTTATATTTTTCTATGATTATTATAATTAGCATTTGCTTCTTATTCTTGTCCTCGTTTTGTCCCCTTTATTATCTTTATCATCTCGCTCTCTTTTTTGTAGATTGGGCCAGTGTTATCATTTTCTAATTCTCACTGATGGTTTCTTAAGCGTGTAATGGTTTCCAGGTGATAATCCACATTAAAGTAGAAGACATAAATGATTCGCCCCCGGTATTTGAAAGTGACTGTCTGACATTTTACATACCAGAGAATAGTCCTATAGGGACCACTGTTGGAGAAATACGCGCCCATGATCCAGACGAAGGAGCAAACGCTGTCATACATTACTCTATCAAAGGTAATTACTAATTGTAACTTAATACATCGAAAAATGCTAAACAAGACTTTTTTCATATCTTTAGTTATCACTTAAAAGCACTAGCCTTGTAATAGATTCAAACACTATTAAATGTGACTAACGACGTCCACCTCACTTTTAAAAATGTTTTGTTACTTTAATTTCCTTAATAGAACACTACTTCTTGTTTTATTTTCCCTGTATAGTTGAATACACGTTTTTATTGTTCTGATTATTTTGTTAATAGCACAAAACCACAGGGATTACATGGACTGTAAGTTCTTTTACAAATGCTTTATTAGTAAAAGAGCTTTAAAATTTATTTACCGTACCTAATATCGAGAGAGAATTATTAAACATTTTTTTTTGTTCAGGTGGTGACGATTCAAACAGTTTCTCGTTAGAAACACGTCAAGGATCCGATAAAGCAGAGCTAGTAACGATGGTGGATTTAGATTATGAAAGTCCGAGGAAGAAATATGAGTTGGTAATTCGAGCTGCCAGTCCTCCTTTATGGAATGACGTCAGAGTGGAAGTGTTAGTTACCGATGTGAACGACAACGCACCAATGATGAAGGATTTTCAAATTATTTTCAACAACTTTAAGGACTGTTTTCCTGTGGGACCCTTTGGTAGAGTGCCCGCTTACGATGCTGATGTCTCTGATAAGGTAAGTCGAAGGAAAACACCTTTACAGTCAAAATATAAACAAAATTACATGTTATATAATCTGTGTGTGATAATTATTTTTTAAATGTTGATGGTTGCAGCTTCAATATCGAATTCTGTCCGGTAACAATGCAAATCTTGTTCTTTTAAATGAAACGTCCGGCGCCATGACACTATCACCGCAACTTAATACCAACGTCCCCAAATTAGCAACAATGGAGATATCAGTTACAGGTATGCTAACTCTAAACGTAGACTAGATATCTTGACTCTGACTCATTAAATTTCAGTTCGCTGCATATTTTAAAAATTGATGTAATCATAGATATTAGATCACATGTCAAAAACTTTAACTCTTCTTCTGACAGATGGCGTGAATGAAATAAAAGCAATGATGCAGCTGTCAGTGCGGCTGATAACGGAGGAAATGCTGTTTAACTCGATCACGGTGCGACTGAACGACATGACGGCGGAGCAGTTCCTATCGCCACTACTCGGCTTCTTCATCGACGGTTTGGCGGCCATCGTACCATGCCCAAAAGAGAATATCTATGTGTTCAGTGTGCAGGTATTTTTTTTTAATAAAGAACCGTCATTTTATAAATATAGCACAAGACATTTGTTTCAGTCAGGTTCTCTTCTATGTTATAATTACAATAGTCATGTTCTCTGCAAATCAGGACGATACCGACGTGACCGGCAACATCCTGAACGTGTCATTCTCTGCGCGGCGACCGGAGGCAGAGTTGTCTGCGGGGGGCGCGGGAGGTGACGCGCAGTTCTACTCGCCCACGCACCTGCGCGAGAGACTATATCTGAACCGCGCCACACTCGCTAGACTGGCCACAGTACAGGTAAAATTCTAACATCATTTAGTCTCGTTCTATCTCTGCTACAGTAAAGTGGCAAGCCCTTAAGTGGTGCTAAGCAATACTGCAGATGCTCTCTCAAAGATTCTGACAGTTTCAGTTAATGTTTCAAGTAATTCTGTATGTACGTTTCTTTGATAAAGGTGTTACCATTCGACGACAACGTGTGCATCCATGAGCCGTGCCTCAACTTCGAGGAGTGTCTCACTGTGCTCAAGTTCGGCAACGCTACCGGCTTCATCAACAGTGACAGTGTATTGTTTCGACCCATATATCCTGTCACTACATTCACTTGTCAATGTCCACAAGGATTTACGGGTAAGTACTTACATCTCAGTCATTCTCTTTGAAAAAACTGAAAGAACAATATACAGCTTTAAAACCAACGTTCCGAAAGTGGAGTTTCACAGTCAAAAGATAATATACGAATCCTTTTGGTTTCTTCAGTTGTTCCGACAAATTTGTCAGTTGTGTTTTTATTGACTGGTATATTTTGTAGGTCTTAGAGAACACTTCCTGTGCGACACAGAAGTAGATTTGTGTTATTCATCGCCGTGTGTCAACAACGGCACATGTATACGTCGCGAGGGAGGATACACATGTGTGTGTGCAGCTGGTTTTACTGGTATGTATATACTAAAAGCTTCAATTTCTCATACCTTAACCGAACTTGTCCTAATAAATCTTGTTCATAATGTATTGGTCCTTTGAGCCGGATGTCAATGTATCTTTCAGGAACGAATTGCGAGACAGTACTAACGAAAGCGACGTGCGACTTGAATGGTGACGGAACAATCTGCCGCAGCGGGTCGCAGTGCGTTGCGCGCAGAGAGGGAGGAATCTTGTGTCAGGGGTGTACCATAGACGCGGAGTACACTACCGCCATGTGTGAATTAAGAGCTCGTAGTTTCCCGGCTTCCTCATTTCTAACGTTTGCTGGTTTGAAAAGAAGGCACAGGTTTAACTTTAAATTGAAGTAAGTACACCTCGAATACAGAAATCTAGTTTCTTGTACTTGCCACAGATGACTTAAAAGACTAAATCTTTAGATTCGCGACCACGTCTCCATCTGGCTTGCTTATGTACAACGGTCGTTACAACGAGCGTCATGACTTCGTTGCTCTGGAGACGGTGGCGAGTGACGCTGGCAAGGGGGGCGGGGAGGGGCTACGCTTCTCTTTCGCCCTCGGCGGGGCTAAGACTGAAGTAACGGTGGCTGCGCACGTGGCTGACGGCGCCTGGCACACAGTCGAGATACAGTATTATAACAGGGTGAGTACTAAGTCTGGGTTTCTATTACCGAAACGTTCTACACCTACTAAGGCTATAAATGTTTTATATAACTAAAATGTAATTTATTGCTTCTTTCCTGCTTTTCGCTAAATTAGATTTTTTTTTGTTTTAAAATTATCGTGCATGATTTTAAAACTGTAAACGAAGAATTACATTTTAAACATTATTGACTCAAATTAATATTTTTAGCTTTTTATAAAAAGTAGAAATGTAAATTGAATTTATGACTTAAAAATGTCAGTCGTATCAATAAATCTTGATTTTTCCAGACTGCAACTATGATACTTGATAATTGTGACAAAGATTTATCCTTGGCGGGAGCTAACGAATTCGGAATTAAATACGCATGCGCAAACTTCACAAGGAAGGAATTGCCACCGCGTTGCGATATTCCCACTGAAACTTGCCATAGGTAAAAAAAATGCTGAAATATTATAATAATTATATTGTTTTAATTTCTTTCGTACAGTATTTAAAAGCAATAAGATATAGGCATTTACGTAATCGCAGATTTCTTGATTTGACCGGACCTCTACAAATTGGCGGCCTGCCGAACATCCCTACGAGCTTCCAAGTCAAGAACAAAGATTTTGTTGGTTGCATATCTGATGTGTACATCGACCATAAGTTTCTTGACCTTAATAGGTAAGATATACTTGTAACTAATTCAGTAACATTATAATGTAATAAAACTCATGTAAACTTTGTTCTGTCACCTGTATACCCTCTTCTTCTATAGCGTAACTAGGCGCTCGATGTTATATCTATGAGAAAGTGGCTGCCGCAACAGCCATGAAACAGCAGTCGTCCCTTTGGTGGAAAAAAAACTGTAATTGACTTTATGTATATAGCTACGTGTCAGACAACGGCACACTAGCTGGTTGCCCTCAGAAGCGATCGCGATGCAGCTCTACGCCGTGCCACCGCGCCGCCAACTGCACCGACCTCTGGGACTCCTTCCTCTGCGACTGCCCTGAGGGGTACTCAGGACATGACTGCTCTGAGAGTAAGTCTATCATATTGAGGAACTGCTTCGCCCACCATGTTAGATGCTATAGGAAATTAAACGTAAAATTTCACGTTTATATTAAACTTGACATTTCTTAAATCTCTTGTGTCTTACTTAATTAGCGACCTCTCCGCCATGGCGATTCAGCGGCGACGGCATGCTGTCGTTCAACCCGCTGTTGCGGCCCATCCAGTTGCCGTGGCTGAACGCGCTCAGTCTGCGCACGCGACAGCGCGACTCCTTCCTTATGTCCGTGCAAATCGGACAGAACAGCAGCGTATTTATTAGTGTGAGTGTTCAAACATTCCTAGGCAGATTATAATATGCGTTCTTCGGTCTATAATAATACTTTCTTTACAGCTTAAATCAGGACTCCTGCATTACTCGTATAACGGAGAAACAATGTTCCTACCATCGACCAACCTCGCAGACGGCAATTGGCATAGAGTAGAGATTAAATGGCTTGGGACAGATATATCGGTTGTTATCGACTACGGCCTGAAGAGTGCGCTGCTACCGATGTTGGCGAATAAAATACAAGGACAGTACATCGGAAAGATCCTTATTGGTGGTCCTGACACTACAGCGGGCTTGTTGGCCTCAGAAGTTGGATATTTTGAAGGATGTATACAAGTTAGTATACTTTTGTCGTCATTGATCTATACTGTTCCCAAATTCTGACAATATAAGATATTTAGGTCTTCAATCGTTTCAAAAATAATAACAAATATTCAAAGTTAATTTTTTATATCAGGACGTTCGAGTGGGCACAGCGCAGTCTCTACTCAACCGGCCAACAGTCAGAGAGAATGTTCGAGACGGATGTCAGTCGAAGGCAGATTGCTTGCTTTCAATCTGTCCACCCTATGTAAGTATTTTGTTCGTAACCGTTCGTTTTGTATAGTTAAGCGTGAAGTGAGTAAAATATAACGGTCCCTTTTTTTCGCATGCAGAGTAAATGTGAGTCAGAGTGGGATAGTACGGAGTGCGTGTGCGAGCGCGGACGCGTGGGGCCGCAATGCGTGGCGGCGTGCGAGCTGCGCCCGTGCGGCCCGCATGCCGTCTGCGTGCCAGAAGACACACAGAAAGGTTACAGCTGCAAGTGCGCTGAAGGATACATTATGACAGGTTTGTATAAGTAAAGTATGGGAACCTAATTTCTTTCATCTTTATTAATTTCTATTTTAACTATTCGCTGTATATTCTTAGATTGACCATGTCTGATCTCTGATATTTCCAAAGACATGATGTAATTTTGTCGAACTAAACCTTAATGTATTTTATGTCTATGTTTATTGGTACTGGAATATATTAACCGTGCTATTTATAAACGAAATGGCTGCATATAAAGTTTGTTTCACTCAACTAGGGGAGGGTTGCATGGAGCATCACGAGGAGGAGTGTCCGGGCGGCTGGTGGGGCGTGACGGGCTGCGGACCGTGCGATTGCGACGCGGCGCGCGGATACCACCCGCACTGCGCTGCTAAAGACGGCCGCTGTCGATGCAAGGTATGTTCTTACACACTGAGACACATGACTTTCATAAAATTTTCAATTTACTTCTCCCAACTACATGATTCATGGATGTTTTTAGGAGAACCACTACAAGTCTCCGGAGGGCGAGGAGTGCGTGGCGTGCCACTGCTACGCGGCGGGCTCTCTCAACAGTTCTTGCGAGGATACCAGTGGACAGTGCCACTGTCGCAGCGGCGTTATCGGCCGCGCCTGCGACTCCTGTTCCAACCTCTATGCAGAGGTCACACCTAACGCTGGATGTAAAGGTACATAGGATGTTATAAGATTTTTCTGAAAGAGGGGATTGATGATGCAATGATGTTTATCTTTTGAATTAGATAATACATACTATAGATATAATAAAACTTTTCAATATTTTTTTACAGTTATTTATGACGGATGTCCACGATCGTTTTCAAACGGCGTTTGGTGGCCACGGACCAAATTCGGAGTCGAAGCTATCACTGATTGCCCAACAGGTAAATTTCATGGCATTAATAAGAATGTTTAATAGATTCTGCAGTATAATTAGACATTGAAGTAATACACATTTGATAATCATTGCTATCCTACAGGCTCCAGCGGCAGAGCGACGCGAATGTGTGACGAGGTGCAAGTGGTGCCGTGGCAGGAGCCAGACATGTTCAACTGTACCACTGAAACATTCTATCAGCTTCGCAAGCAGGTAACATAACATTTTATAAACGCTCAATAAGTTCATTCATATTGTCCATATTAATGACCAGGGTTTAATTACACAATCATACAATAACTGTGAAAATTAGTCTGTTTACTTTCTAGATAGAAACTTGTGTATACTCTACTTCGGCCAGTTGGGATTTTTTTTATTTACTGATATAATTAACAATGTTACAACTAGCTGCACAAGATCGAGACGGGCGAGTTAACAGTAAACACATTCGTGGGAGTTCGTCTCGCGGAGGAGGTGTGGTCTGCGTGCGCGCGCACCGCGCGGCTGTTCGGCGCCGATGTGCTGGTGGCGGAGGGCATCCTGCTGGAGCTACTGCGCCACGAGCTACGCCAGGCTGGACTCAACCTTACACACAGCCAGGATAAGGATTACGTTCGGGTGAGTAGAGTGTAACAAGCCTGTAGGAATTCCGATTAGTAAGGAAATAACTGTAGGAGGGAACATAACGATAATGTTTATTCCGCAGAACATAATCAAATCAGCAAACACAATCCTGAACATTGAGTATGATAAAGAATGGCAACGCATTAGGAAACTGACCGGACACGGCGTCGAACATTTGCTGCAAAAGTTTGACAAATATATAGCAGTGCTCGCCGAGAGTCAGCACGATACTTATACAAGCCCATTTGAAATTGTCACCAGTGATTTGGGTATGTGAAATATTGAAATTTTGATCATTATTTAATACACTAATTTAAGCCATCCATGCCATTAAATCAAATATTTTCTAATTATTACAGTTATCGGGGTGGATATTGTAACAGCAGAATCGATATACGGTTTCGAACCGACACAATTGAATCGTTATAGCGGAGAAACTATAACAACTGAGCGTGTGGTGCTACCAGACACTTCGGCATTCATACATTCTCCCATACAACCTGGTTACTATAGCAACGGCAAAACAAAAACAAAGAAGCCATTGAGTCCAACAGTTTCATTCCCAAAATATAACAACTATGTAAAGAATAAAAACAAATTCGATAAATATTCAAGAGTACTGCTACCACTGGATCTGCTTGGGATTAATAGCAATACAGAAGGTAAGTTGAAAATAAATCCATAAATAAAAAAGCGAATTTCTTAATATCTCGGTTACATAAGTTACCTCGCAATTTCTTCTATCATAATTGCAGAAAACATGGTATCAGGATACGAGTCCCGTGCGGTATTCGCATACATGCAGTACTCGCGCAACACATCGCAGCTGCTGCCGCTGCGGACCGACGACTCTGTTAGCCGACGCTGGGGCATCAACGTCACGCTCGGCTCTCCCGTGCTGCAGCTCGCCCTCTTCGTACCTGACCAGGTCTGGAGAAAGGAAGGCAGTGAAAACGATAGCCTCGACATGAATGATATTGCAGGTGTGATTTGGCTTACAAATGTCTGCAAAACATTTCCAATTTTGTTCCCAAATTAATATACCAAAAATTGTATTTATTTCAGGCGTTGTCTACGCCAATAAAGGACAAAATCATCAATCGCAAACAAACAACATCGGATCCAACTCTCAATCAAGAAACCCTTGGTCGCATTCAAACGAAGATGACAACAACGAAAATCACGGACCAATTGTTATTCAGCCAGCATTCAAAAAACAAGACAAAGTTGAAGACACGGAAATTTTAAAAGAAAACAATTCTACATACGGCACCGAAAAGGCAATTAAAATCGACAGCGACGGCTTGAAAGTTATGGCTCTTGTTATGGAACCCAACGATAAAACCAAAGATGGAATTAATTCTAGCAAAGAGGTAGACAAAAAGAAGCAGGTCTATAAAAGCTTGAGCGGTATTAGGTTAAAGAAACCAATAAGATTACAGATATGGTTAGATATAAATAGAGATACGTTTGGATCAAGAACGAATCCACAATGCGTTCATTGGTCGACGTTGAGAGGGTAAGTAATTTATTTGAGATGAAATTAATCCATTGAAAGTTTTAATATCTAATGCAACAATAAATTTTTCATTTTGATTATTTAGGTCTGGTGAATGGTCCCGTGTTGGTTGTCACACTGAGATAGACTACGACTGGTCACAATACTCTGATGAACCTCTGCGCATTAACTGCACATGCAATCATCTATCGACGTTCGCAGTGTTGGTCGATGAAGTTGATATTGAGGTTCGTATTAATGTGTATTTATTGATTTAAAATGATCGACATTCAATTGTATAAGTTCTAATTTGGGTTACATTGTAAGTTATAAGTTTATTGATATTTTGTTGTTCGTAGTTGATACCGGAGCCGTCTCTACTTGAGTCTGTAACGTCGTACACGGCGTTCAGTATCTCGCTGCCACTGCTGCTAGTGACGTGGGCGGCGCTGTGCCTGATGCGGGGCGGGGCAGCCACAGTTTCTAACTCCATTCACAAGCATCTCATATTCTGCGTCTTCATGGCCGAGCTGTTATATCTCATCGCGCTTAAAGCAAGGAATTCTTTGGTGCAAAACGAGGTAAAGCGAATTCTTATTTAAGCAGCCACCTTAGTTTTAATATTTGATACTCCATCTGCACTGAGAAACGTACGTACTTTGTGGCTGTTTAAGTACTTGTAGTACGGCAGTAAACGAGGTATATTTTTTACTAACTATATTTGTGTATGTTCAGTTCGGTTGCAAGGTGATAGCGATGTCGCTGCACTACTGGTGGCTGGCGGCGCTGGGCTGGGCGGGGTGCGAGGCGTGGCAGCTGCGCCGGCTGCTGCGTGAGTTGCGCGACGTCAACCACGGCGGGCTGGCCGCGCCGCTCGCCGCCGCCTACGCCGCGCCCGCTGTCGCCCTCGCGCTCGCCGCAGCGCATACCCCGCATCAGTACGGCAACGCGCTGTTGTAAGTCCCCTCTACACGTCGAATTTTAAACATGTTGACAGTGCTGTGTGCATTGAAGTGTGATAAATATTGCCAATTTGTGTTCAGCTGCTGGGTGAGCTGCCACGAGCCGGTGGTGTGGTGGGTGGTGGTGCCGGCCGCGGTGTACGCCGCCGTTGCTGTGGTATTCCTCGCGGGGGCCACGCGCGCCGCCTTCACCGTTAGGGACCACGTTACCGGATTCGGGAATTTACGGTAACAATCAACAGTCAATGTAGAACTTTGGTATTATGATCACTACAAAAACTACAAAACAAAAATAAATATTTTTGCCAGGATGCTGCTCGCCATCAGTATAATATGCCTACCGCTGCTGTGCGTGTCGTGGGCGAGCGCGCTGGTGCTGGGCAGCGAGGCGGGCGAGCGCCGCAACGCGCTCAGCTCGCTGCTGGCGGCCGCGGTCACGCTGCACGCCGCCGCCGCCGCGCTCGGACACGTGCTGCTCAACGTGCGCGTGCGGGACAACCTGCGCAGGTACACAATACTCTAACTTTACATATCTTCCTAAACACTACTTCCTTCTTCCTTCCTAAAGATCAAAGTCACGTTATAGTGAAAGAAGAAAACACGATTTCAATGGACATAGAGTATCATTCGCCTGAACTTCTTATTTCTCTCTTCTCGAAAACTTCACTTAACTGAAACTGTTGTTTCAGGACTGTTCTCAGATGCTTGGGCAAGAAGGTTCCACTCGCGGATACGTCCATAATAGTAAGCTCCAGCGCTGCCAACCTCTCTCAAGCAAACAGGTACTCATTTACACCGGTCAAATAGTCTGAATTGTTTCAGCGGTATACATATAAGACTTATAAACTCTTTATTTTTAGATCTGCTCTGGCATACCACAGCGGCGAGACAGGCCGACAGCTGCGCAATATAGGAATATCTGCATCGTCTACAACGTCGCGTTCTACAACTAAAACAAGTTCCAGTCCTTATAGGTAACATTAAAGTATATTTGTCTTGATTTTTTTTGTTCCATTTACCCGCTCCAATCCAAATCCCCATACTGTACGATAATTTTAATTAAATAAGATCAATATCCTAAATGTTTAATATGTAATTTCTATGTATAACTTTCATGTGGTCTTTCCTTGCAGTCGTAGTGACGGCCAGCTGCGTCACACGAGCACATCAACCTCCAACTACAACACTAGCGCCAGCGACATGCCCGCGTACCTCAGAGGCTTCGATTCCTCACTGCATAACAGGAAAGATGGTAAAATAATACATTATATTGTAGTTTTCTCTATAGCACACAGTTGAAATGACAGCACCTTCTTTTTTTACAAACAGCTCTTTAAACTAAATGTGTTTGTTAAAAGATGAAAGTCGGCGTCGTCGCAAGCGTTCGGGGGAGGGCGCGGGGGGCGAGCGGGAGGGCGCGGAGGGTACTGAAGGCACAGACAGCGACAGCGACAGCGCGCGCAGCCTCGACCTCGCCTCCAGCCATTCCAGCGACGACGACGAGACCAGCACGCGCCGTTCCAGTCATCCGCCCTCAGCTAACAGTCAGTTTACAATATCATTACATCCTTACGTTAGTTTACTTGCAAGAAAATTTTAAATTGACCGACGTACCTATATTTTGCAGATTCTATAACTACCTTTTTTAGTACTACGGTTTCAGTCTAGACTTTTAGATAAGATGGACTATTAATTACTATAGTTTTTTGTACAACTAATTATTTATTAAGAGCTATTGCATACTTAAAGTGTTCTTCATCAACACAGGAGAGCGTAACGGCAGCAGCAGCAACGGAGGCAGCTATCTTCCAAACATAACGGAAGGCGCGCCCCTCGGCACTGCGCCTCGCTGGCCGTCACATATCAGAGAAGGTAACCCCACATGTTGATTCTTATAGAAAGTTCTGGGCATCTTGTCAAGTCTTTAACACTATTAACTTGTTAATTTATCTTAGAAGGGAATCGTCCGGACATGGGCCGCTGGTCCCAGGAGACGGGCTCTGAGCAGGATGCGCTGAGTGCTGCGTCACCGTCGCCTAACCCTCTGCCCAACCCACTGCCCGCGCAGCTGCCGCCAGACCTCACCTCGGGCGTCTACCTTGGCCGCCATCGCCTCAAGCCCTCCATACTAGAGAATGTCCATGACACTTACGTTGCGAGTGTTGATGCCTCGCGACTCCCTCTTGACAACAGGTCTCCACTATTGTACTTGTATTAAGTTAATTGTCCTATTCATAGAGAGAGACATCAAATAAATTATTGCTTGGTATTATGGCTTGGTAAAATTGGTATATAATTTTAGAAGACTTAACGTTAAATATTTTAATAACTCTCTTAAATTCTAGATACGGTGCTATGGACGAGGAGCTGATGTACGGCGTATTACCCAATGATACGGAGAAACAAATCCCTTACGACCCCAACTACCCGATGTCGCCTACAATGTACAGACTGCCACAAAACCCTTACGGCTCCAAAACTTATCTACCCGCCTCAAGAACTTCAGAATACGGCTACAGTCCAACAAAGTATTTAAACGGTGACCCTAATGTATACGGTTCAAGGGATTTCCGGGACTCAGGAGTGACCACAAGGGATCATGATGGTTACCCTTCGCGAGATTTCAGGGACTCCGGCATAGCGACTATGTTGAAAAACGATTATCAAAGAAAGATGGAAAGTCACTACGGCGGGGACTACAATGACAGGATGTCAGAGGGATCGGACAAACTTCACACACATGATAAATATCTGTTCCCTTACACGGGTAAGTGTTGCTGAATTAGTACCAATTGTGTGGATTTTGCTTGGCATTTCATTTTAAGCCTTTTCAATTATTTTTTTTCTGAATTGATATGTGCAATTCTTTCTTATTTTAGTTTTTGTTTATGGTAATTAGTTTAGCACGCTTTTATCTTTTTTTTTACTGTAGCGGAGGAAGATCACATAGGTATGCGCGAGGGGGCGCATGCGTCGCACGCGCGCCTCAACACACAGACAGGTAGGTACCTTTTTTTTTTCTTTTTTTTTTATAGTCAGGAAATGCATTTACGCACGCCTACGCCGGGCGGTGCAATGGCGTAGGGAGTGTGGGACTCGCCGGCCACAGAAGGTGACCAGAATACCCACTAAAACCTGACTGCCCTCTGACGCATTATGGCGGGCGCCACGGGAACGCTTTGGCTTACTTCCGTGGGAGACAGGTAGGTACCTACGCTAATGTCATGTGTACTAAAAAAAAAAAATATTTAATCTGACGTTTCATTTATCAACCTATATCGCCATACGTTTTGGACCTAAACTTTAACAACCGTAAGATAATGCGTAAACAATGTCGAGCAAAAGAAAAAATATCGCAAATTTCCAAGTATTTTGTTAATAATTTAGTCATATTTATATATCTGTTATAGGTGAAAATCAACAACAGATGGCGCCACTTGCAACTATGGGAGAGACTAGCGAGTAAGTTCCTACATTTTAAATCATTATTTCTATCATTGTTCTGTCTGCTAGAATCATTAAAGCATGGGTTCTTCATAATTATTAATATTTTGCATGTTCCTTAAATATATCATTGCTGACACGTAACTTAAAATTCATATTTCATTAGTGCATCGACTGACCTACATTAGAAATGTTAAAAATTATCTAATTTAATAGTCAATTAATTTATTTAAAAAAAAAACTATTCTTTTTAATACCGCCTATTAGTACTTTATTTAATCATTTTTAACCATGATTTGCAACTAATTAATATACTCCTTTGGTCCTTTGCTTCTTTACCAATAATTTTTTTGACTATACTTGTAAATAGTACGAAGAAATCGTAAAAAGGTTATGATAACAAAATAATTCTATTAACAGAGATAACTTTTTAAACGTTAATTTTATTTTTTAAAGTTTTTGATTTTATGTAACAATGTACATATACAATAAAACTATAAATAATAGAAGTCAAGAGGCCTTGGTTCTTGGTTTACAAATGTATACAAAATATTCTTTTATTTATTTGACACAATGTTAATATCAATAACGTGTAACAAATTCTTAATAGATGGTGGCGGTTATATGAGAAAAATTCATTATAAATCATCTTTTGCTTTGCTAACTGGTGGTGTTGCCGTGCGCAAAATCATCTGCAACCATCGTAGGGATGAGGTAAACTTATATTTAATGTTATTGTGCATGTAATACAGATTAAAATATACAAATATATTTTAATTACGTTCGGATACATTTATCGCACAAAACATCTGTGCACGCGAATTTACGTCACGAATTTCACTTTCATTTTATTCTTTACACTCCTCTACTATCGAACTTTAAAAGAAAATGTTTCTGAACGTAATTCAGGTAATTTGACATACCTTTTAGCTATTCTATAGTAATTAAATTCAGTTAGTAACTCAATTAAAATTGCTGACCGGCTCACGATTTACATTTGTAAAGCAGATCATTGAATCGACTCGCAGCTCAATTCAATTTGAACCTGCATAATGTTATGATTTGCGTTACGAGCTACGAACTGCTAGTCACCAGGCAGCTCGCAGCTCGTTGGCTCACCTATAAGTACATCGCGATAATCCGTAATCTGCCGATTTAGTTGTAGAGCCAAGGCTCAAAAATAAAAATCTACGTGTTCTTAATTTTTGAACCGATTCAGAGCTGATTTATAAAAATCAATTGGTTGATAAATACTTATCCGTGCTGCAATTTGTAATGCAAAGTTTAATATTCTAGAAGCTTTAAATTAGTGTGAATTATTAATTAAATATTGTAATTCATTCGTAAGTAGAATAATAAATTGAACAACTGATGAAGACAGTTGTAATGTTCTAGGAAATCTACTACTGAAGACGACGCAGAAACCCGAGTATGAAGACAACATAGTACAAGATTTCCAATGAATCTCAATTAGTTAATTTATTTAATTTCGTTGTATTGTAGTTTGGATATTATCAACTAAATAGCTCTTATGAATTTCTATAAAGACTGTCACAACTCGATACCCACTGCCATAGCGTAGCAAATAACGGCTATTTATTATTGTCTATGCTTTAAATAGATTTAAGATGGATTTAGTTTTAATTGTAATCAAGTGTGTTTATAATTTTTCATATAAATTGTTAATGTAACCGTGGCTTTACACTGTGGAAACAACTGTGAAACATATTTTCATCTCTTTCATTCCCTTTAGTATAACAGAGATGACTGTATATTTCTGTACAGGTGTTTCAAAAGGAAGCTCACAACAGGCTTTTTTTAATCGGATTTGATTTTAAAATTAAGAATAAAAATCTTTTTAATTATACAATTGAGACAAGAGTAGAATAGGTACAATTAGATTCACTCGGCATCGCGACAACTGCACGGCAACTAACCGTTATTTATCGGAATATTTAAATGGACGTAAGTTGGATTAAACGCCGTCTGAATCTAATGACCATACAACACTAACGAGTTATCATTAAAATGATCGGATGCTGTGTAAACTTAATAAATTGTCATTTGCATTTATTATAATTAATTTAAAAATAAGAATTGTACTCTTGCAAAGTACTAAGCTCATTTCATGACGTTTTACGCATGGCATATTTGAATACACTTTAATCCGGGTGTTGTGCAAAGATTAAATGTAATTCATTAGGAAAATGACATCCAAAGGCAGTCATGTAAATAAATTAGCAGTTTAATAGCTTTATTTTGTAAAAGTAAATTAATGCAAGATGTTAAACAATTTATTTTTATATAAGAGAAACCAAATCTATCAACTGAATAGCTATTCGATGTTCTATGATAAATTTAGTGCATTAATATAGAAAATAAATTGAAGTTGTATGAGATGATAGTTTTCAGAAAAAAATAGTATTGTAAATAGTTGATTTTAAACGAGTGTTTGTGTGCATTTTGTGCGTTTTAACGAAGAGTCCACCTATTTTGTAAATATAATAGAATTTTTACACTTCGTAGTTTTTATTTAATTAGTTTCATAGGGAACTCAAAGCTTAAAAAGGCTTTGTTATCTAAATATTTCCCAATATTGCCATATTGTTTTCAAATATTGCACCAATAGACAAAGTTTTCTAAAAAATAAAATTTTAAAAATATTCTCATTTTTAGTCCTTAACAAAGAAACTTGTTTTAACGAAAATATTTATTATCAAACATAAAAATGACAATTGATGTAAAATCAAATGTTTGCTCAGAATTTCGCACTAGGCGTACGATTTAGTAAATAAGTTGGATAATATGCTTTGAAATCCAATGCAACACGCAAATTTTGGCTCATTTCAATATATACATTCCGCTTCGTGATAAACTCTATCGTAGATACCTCTTTTTGGAATTGTATAGTATTCCTGTACATCTAAAGTGTTTTATATTGAAATAAAATATTTTATTGCTAAATTTTTCACGTTGTGTTATTTCTCCTTTGTATTATTGCTGCTCCACAGATTTAGTATTACAAAGTGATTGAACCCAATTTCGTTGTCGGGAATTTTCAACTCAATCCCGAATCATTTTTGCTACCCTAATCATGCTATTATAAATACGAATGTTTAATATGGATGGATGGATGTTTGAAGGTATCTCCGAAACGGCTGCATAGATTTCGCTAAAATTTGGCATAGATGTAGAAGGCCTGGAAGAACATATAGATTACTAATGAAGTTTTTCTTTAATTCGCGGACGACAGCTAGTGTATACAACATTTGCTTAAACTAAGTTTAATTATGACCGAAAAACCCAAAATCATTGTACAAATATTTTGACAACATAAATGTCGTTACTTGGTCATCAATTACTTATAAATCACATGACATCTCATGTGACTTACCAAACCGTTAACATTCAAAGTTATTAGGGAAAAGGTATAAAAAATAAAACTCCTTCAAATTTTATCTATTTATTCAACATACATAATATCTACATTTGCACAAATATATTATTATCGCATCAATAAACAGTACTCATAATGCTCTTATAATACTTATCTCTTGTTCTTGCAATATGTTTGCACTCAATTTGTGCCTAACGACGACAATGTATTCCATAACCATATGGCTTTCATCATTGCCCCATCATAAAATGGATAATAATAATATATTTTACAATAAATTAGTAAGATTTATAATAGTGCAAGGAAGCAAACTAATATTTACAATTGGAAACATTTAATATTTCGTACGACATTCCAATGTTTTAACTTCGAAATCTAAAAAGTAGTTCGCATTCGTTTATTTTCAGTAATACACAAATTGATGTTTAATTTGTCTCTTAAATCGAAAACCTGGTTGTTATTTGGCTAAGGAATAAAATCTCCATTAAAATTTCCTAAACTATGACATGCGTTCCTTATAAATTTCAATACATAAACGGCTAGGTTATTTGTAAGCATCTTAAAACATGTGTAAGCTAAACTATATAACTGACAGATTGGGATATCAATAACAATAGTTAAGTTCTTGTGTCTAGTTGGAAAAATATAGTACTATAGTGTTAACTATTTACATCTGTTGAACCAATCAAAGCTTTCATTAGTTTTATGATTTCATGGAATGTTTAAGCCTTATAAAATATGACTAGATACTACATTGCATAGTTTTAAACTATTTTGAGCACCTTTCTATTTAGCAGTGTTATAATGAAATGTTGATGTTAATACTATACGAGTTTATGTATAGATATATAATAAATACATAGATGTCATGCAATTAGTATCTAGTCACTTCCAAATCAGGACACTGTAAAATGGATAACAACACAAACTATTGTTTATATGTATTCTAGAACACTCCAATACAATCCAGACCTGTTCAATAGACTATCTGACATCTTAGCACAATATTAAATTAATCGAAGAATAAAACTAAAAGTATCTTTCAAAATATTTATCTCTAATCCGGTAATAAAAATTAATGAAAATAATTTCTTACAGTTTTTCTTCATCTTATTGAACCAATGTAACTAATTCACTTGAGTTCGAAATAAGCTTAAAAAATATAAGACTTATGAAACAAATACAGTATTAACTAATAAATAACCAAAAAGAAATATAATTGAATAGAGAAAAATGGTGCTAAGATCAGATTATTATTAAAACAGTTGCCTTTCAATTATAGAAACAAATCTCATTTAAATTTATAAATAACATCAACAAAATATATTTTGATTAAGAAGTACACGAGTCCAACACTTAACATAGAAAACTTCACACATGTGATTGATGTATTTGCGCTGAGCACTGGCTGTCACAGATTTAAGATTGAAGGTCAAGGCAGGATGGTCCAGTGCTGTACACTGAAACACACAAAATTACATCAAATTCACACCATTGTATTTCAAAAGGCAGTTATCACTTCAAAAACATTGGAATGAAACCAATCTTACTTATATTACAAATTACTATAATACAAAAATTATATATAAACACGGCTAAACACTCACATATATTCATCAGGCTGAGTGGTACTGGTATTATTTCGCCGACGCTGCCCGTCGCTCACTCGGGAGTCGGTGTCGCCACGGGACGAATATACGTGAGTGTTTAGCCGTGTTAATACATCAATTTAGTATAATGTCTCACGAAAGTTTGAATAATTTACTATAATAATAATATTTAAAATAATAAGCATTATGTGAATTATATGAATGGAATGGCACCTCACTCTTCATAATTGACCACAAAGCGGTTCAGTTAAGACAGGATGAGAAATACATGCCATCGAAAAATTTCTCCTATCAGTTATCACTAAAAAGTCGCTATATATTTAATTATCATACTATGTTACAAATATGATAAATGTGAATGTTTGGATGGATAGATGGATGTTTGTTAGAAGGTATCTCCAGAAGGGCTGCATTGGTCCTGATGAAATTAAGTATTGATGTAGAACATTGTCTGGAAATACATACTCTACATCATAGATTTGTGTTTGCTAAGGTCCTATCATTAAACATCTTTATTACACATTTTTTACCTTCCGAACTTTTTAATTCATTCTTTAACATGACGCAAGGATCAAACCATCGCAATTACATGTTGTCTGAGGAACTTTTCACCAAAGAGAAGAAATATAACATTAATGAATCATGATTATGTAAGATTTTTTTTTTGTAATAAATATAAGGATAATAGTACACTTGTTTTTGCAATAAACACTTCTGATTTCATAAACTAAATGGGAGATGTGAACATGTAAAAATTAAATTTAATAAAATAGCACAAATTGTGTTCAAAAAATAATTCATTAGAATTACTCCTATACATCTAATAATTCTATAGAACCTGAAGACATGCCTAAAATTTGTGTTTCTGTAGTTGAACTTATTCCCTTTTTAAATAATAAACTGTCACATAATCAGAAAGTAGTTTGTAGTATGAGAAAAAATGTAGCCGTAAAGCATCTATCTTAATTTACTTGAAACAAATTGAGATGAGATGCAAAAGTAATTTAAATTCACCATTATTGAAATATGATTCTAAAACAATATAAATTAATAGTATCTATTCAATTATATCAAAAGAAATTAAAATATACTTACACTTAATTTCAAGTATTATCTTGAATTACTGGTTACCCATTTTAACCTTTGACGTCATGTAGATGCCGACGATGAGGCCGAAAAGACCAATAGCTGATCCAAAGATTTCTACAATCAGGATCTTAACAAAAAGAGCTGCGTTGGCAGCATCCGAGAGGGCGGCTCCTGATCCTACAATGCCCACAGCGATACCGCAGAACAAGTTCACCAGACCCACGGCCAACCCGGCGCCGAACATCACATATCCAGCCATCCAGTTTTGCTGCTTGATGGCTATGTCAGTCAAGGGTTCCGTGTACTTCTCGAGCATTCCTGACAGCACGATCGCAGTAATTAAACCGTAAATTGCCACGGCTTCACAAAAGATGACGGAGATCAAATTCTTCGTCTTGATACGCGGAGCTTTGACACCTCCTCCGACTATGCTCACTCCCGTCGTATGGATGCCCATAGCCGCGCCCACCACGGAGAAAGCTACTGCAAAAGCTATTCCCAACGTACCCCACATGTATGGGGAAGTGTTTTCCAGGAACCATCCGACACTTATTTGCTCACCTTTTCCATTCAGGACATAGTACATTGAAAATATCGGTATGACAATTGCTACAAGGAGCACCAGCAAATACGTTAAGAAGTACCTCATCTTGGATGATTTTGAGTCAATTGGAGCTGCTGAACCAGAAGATCCCAAAAGGGACGGCCTTTTTTTCTCCAATTACTGCCTTGACAGAAAACTCAAAACGAAGAAGTCTTGTGATCACAAGAGTCCATAGACAAAGAAATTATTGCCATAAGCAAAAAAAATGGCATTTTAAAAAGACTAAACACTCTAATTAAACTGTACAACTCCATCGATTTTTCTCCTCGTGACTTTAGTGTGAGCAAACGATCTTTTTTTAAGGACTTACCGCTTTAAAATTTATTTCCGATACAAAGCTATAAAAAGACAAAGTCGATTACATATGCTATGCTTATAAAGCCAGTAAGTAAGCAAAAATAATATCTGAAATATATGTAATATATATATGTATTTTTCTTACAATTACGCCAATTATTTTACTATTAAGATTGAATTTACCTAAATATGGTTATTTTAAATATTATGAAAATACGAAAAATATATGTTTACTTGGATAAAGGACTTAACATAAAAATATGTTGGCGATGATAATGATGGTTTTTAATTTTGATGACTTCTTGGTAACTTCCACTATTGTTAATTTATTATCTGTTTTTCACACAGCTGATCATTGACAAGGGTCTTTAAATCTTTGATAACAATAGACAATAGGAGCAACAATGCGTCATTGTTTTTCTTGCCATAAAACATCATTCCGAAGTTCCAAGTTATTGAATGTAATGACAAAAATGTAGTATGATTTAAACACATTTTCAGTTTATTTTAATAAAACGTTACAGTCTCCCTAATACAAAAGAATGGCTTAAGAAGTAATAATGAGTTCAACGGAACCGCTACACAAAAATGTTAACATTTTACGCCAGGTTTATTGTTCGTTACTCGTACCTTTATATGTTTGTAGTAATTGTTGTTTTAACAATTTTAACTGTGATTCCTTTGATATGTCACGAGTTTCCATCATTTTCGGATCCCATTGTGGGATTCGAAACCAGAGGAACTTCATTGGCACATCGCTTTATCGCTTGGGAAAATCTCATCGATGAAACAAGGCCATCTAAAAGACTCGCAGTTAACCCTAAAGAAATAGCAGATCAAAAACGTATGAACCATACCTACCACAACCGAATTCAGAATAAGGGAAAAATAAATCGTGAACGAACTAAGAATAAAGGCCGGAACAAAAAGAAGAAACCGAAATACTATTCTACTGGCATTGAAAACAAAATTGAGACTTCGGACAATTCAACTGCTAAAACTTCAATAAATGGTCATGTTCATTGGGGATTTGGAAAAAATGTTTCATTTGAAGATGTAAATGCAGAAATGTTAAAAAATCATACAAGGAAACAGTGGGTATCTTTAAAATCTATGCAGCGTACTCCTGACAAGATTCATCACAATTATGCGACCGGTATGTGTGGAGCTCCCGTTTCTGATTATTCTCATTTAGTTGTTTCTAACTCTGAAAATTCATCATTATTGGAATTTGAAAATGTTCAAAAACTATGTAAATTACAATCTCTTCTAGTTCAAGTAGGTGGTAAAGAGTATTACAAATTATGTCAGAGATCTGTACGAGATGAGGAGTTGTGTTGTCCGGTGTGGAGTGTGCCAAATTATATAGCTTTAATGTCGGGTAAGACTTCTTGTGAAAATATAACAAAAGAAGACGTAACAAATGCAGTTGTAATTTTAAAGAAGTGTGCCAGTTATTTCCATGATTTTAAATTAATGGCATCATGTGAACTAAATCAATGTAGGGTACCAAAATATTGTTCACAGTATGATGCTATATATAATTTGCTGTTTTATCTAATAGATGGTAATGCTTTTACTCCACCTACATTCAATAATACATTTGTTAAAAATGTTATGATCTTTCTTCCACTGGCATGCAGCAGTACTGTTCTTCCATATTATCAGAAGTTACAAAGTTCGATTTTGTCTTACGATACTCTAAAAATTCCTGCTATTGATTTTGGATTAAAGAATGCACTTTTTGATTTATGGATAATCCAAGATACATGGTTGATAGGTCTGGGTGGAATTTTTGTATTTATATGTGTATGGGTTTATACAAAGTCTATTGTATTAACTTTACTGTTATTTGTAGCTATAACATACACACTTGGTGTTGCATACTTCTTATATATTTATGTGTTCAATTTAGAATTCTTTCCCTTCATGAATTTATTAGTAATAGTTGTTGTGATAGGAATTGGAGCTGACGATGCATTCCTATATGTCAAAATCTGGAAGATGATTAGCAGTCAGCTTATAAGAGATAACATAGTAACACAAGAGAGTGAACTTACGGAAATTAAAAATATTTCTAGTGCTGGTGAAACTATTCTAATACAAATACTTGAAGAGACATTAAGGCATTCTATTCTTACAATGTTTATTACTACATTAACAACAGCTGTTGCCTTTTTTGCTTCATATATCAGTTACATTCCGGCTATAAATTGTTTCAGTGTATTTGCTGGTACTGCAGTATTAGTTAATTTCTTCCTCATGATAAGCTGGTTGCCAGTATCAGTATTTATATTAGATGTTAAATTGTACTCAACTAGTAAAAAGCCATGGAATATTGTGATTTATAAAGCTATTAATGAAATTGGTGAGGATATCAGAGTTATATTGAATAGATTTATAATAGCATTTGTTACAAAATCGTACATAGGTATTGTAGTAATTTTGGGTGCTATAGGAGTTGGTAGTATTGTTGTAGTTTTTTACACCCCAGGACTTAAATTACCAGATTCAAGACAGTTCCAGCTGTTTCAGACTTCACATCCATTTGAAAAATATGATATGGAATATCGAGATAGATTTCTGTTTGAAAGATTTGGCAAAGATTTAGGTATTGGTAGTAAAATGCCTTTAAGGTGGATATGGGGTGTAAAACCCATTGATAACGGCAATCACATGGATCCTGCTTCAACTGGACATTTAGTTTTTGACACAGAGTTTTCTATATCTGATCCTAAGTCTCAACTTTGGTTGGCACAGTTTTGTAGAAATTTAAAAGGCCAACCATTTTATCAACATACCCTGGGTCCCTTATTGCCCAATTGCTTTATTGAAAGCTTTAGAATGTTCATGAGCAGAAAATGTATTGATAATATTGATAAAATAAATAGAACACCATGTTGTGAATCTTCAACTTTTCCTTATACAAAAGAAGTTTTTGACTTTTGCATTTTAGCAGCAATGGAATCATTATATCAAACTCCTAGGGAACTTTTTATGCCAGGAGTAGCTGGTCCTAAATTTTTAAGGAGTGCTAATCCACCCAATGTCTCAGCAATTGTTGTAGAATTTGAGAGTGTTGTTCCATATTCAATGTCTTACACTGCAATGAATAACTTCTTTCTACAAGTTGAAAATTGGACGGAACATCAACTGAAGTCTGCCCCACCAGGCATGCGTAATGGTTGGTTTTTATCTGACCTACATTTTTATGATTTACAGAAAACATTAGCGAGTGGGACTGTGACTGCTTTAATATTGTCAGCTAGCTTAGGATTTATAGTACTTATACCAGCTACCTTTAGCTTTATCATCAGTATTTGTGCATTGGCAGCGATGGTTTTCTCATCAACAGTAACTATAGCCATCTTAGTGTTAAGTGAATGGAAATTAAATGTATTAGAAAGTGTAGCAATATCAACATCAGCAGGGTTAGCTGTAGATTTTAGTCTTCACTATGCTTTAAGTTATACAAATGCTAGTGGCACAAAGTCTACTAGAGTTAAATATGCGTTAACAGCATCCTCTGGGCCTACTGCGGCAGCTGCACTGACTACAGGGTTTGCTGGAATATTTTTGCTTCGATCAAATCTATTACCATATTCCCAAATCGGCGCATTTTTGGCATTAATAATGTCTGTCAGTTGGGTATATGCTACCTTTTTTCTATGTTCCCTTCTTCAATTGTTTGGGAAATCTTCGGGCAAAGATTCAGCTACTGAAGAAAGAAAATCTATCTCTCGCGTCAGTTCTATATGTTCCGGAGTGCCTAATTTAGAGAGTCATGAATTAGAACATTTGGCAGACAGTAATCGCACAAATATTACGCACTCTCATAGTCCTTCTAGTATTAGTGCAACTACAGTAGTTCTTCATGATGACTGCCCAAACTCGCTCAGTAGATTTGAGAAGAAAAATAGTATTGATGTAGAAAATGACTGAATGTTTAGATGTATAAATTTATACCAATCATAGCATTCAATCAAGTTTGGAGTATTTTTGCAATTTTGCAGTATTATTTTGACTTTTTACTTTCTTTATCTTTTGTAATGTAAATTTTATCATGATTGTAACATTTTGTACATATATTTACTATTTTATTATTGTTAAACAACAACATATAGGAATTATTGTGACAATAAATATAGTTCACACAGACAATATGTAACAAGAGAGCTTAGATTGATTATTGAAGTATTTTGTTGCTTATTAATATTTTCATTTTAAATTCAACCTCATTTGTACTATTGGTATATGTATATGATTACTTAAAATTCCTTGTCAATTTTTGGTGATTAAATAGTTAAAATGTTAAGTATCTCAAATATTCAAGAACAGTATTTATCGATTAAGAATTTGCATTTCATAAACAACTAAGATACAAGTTGTTTTCTTTGGTAGTATTATTTTTTATCCAGTACTACTTCATATTAAAAAACAGTATTATTTGATCCGTTCTATAGTGATATAAGGTATTAAATGAAGAGTCTCAGTATATTGTTAAATAAACATTTGATATATGCAAAATGTTATATCAACTGTTTACATATGAACAAAATTATATTTTTGTTACAAATTTATTGTGCCAATCTAAAAATGCAAAGTATACTCGTAAGCCTAATGATCTGATACGTGTAAATTATGCTCAATGAATGCATTTTCACAATTTTAATAGTAAATATAAATGTTTTATGTTGAATCTCTAATAATGTAGTATTATTTGTAAGTAAAATATTATATATGTCCTGTATTATGTGTGTACTTAAGACTAAATACGTCATGAAAGTAAAATAAAAAGTTACTTTTTCAAATTTATTGTTTCAATTAACCTCAAGAAAATGTAAAACTAATTAAAATATTGATTGAAACTAAACTTCGTTACGTACTAATCAATTTACAATATGGCTTATAGATAAATTATAATCTAACGATGTTTTCAATTTAACGGTAACATAACGGCCTGAGAGGTATCTTTATTGATATTGATGATTATTGTACCCTTGTAAGTAAATAGAGGAATCTTCGAATATAAATGGAATCTATAGATATGTTTTCACACCTATATTTTGTGAGACTTCCTTATATTGTTTTGTATAAAACATTTGTGACTAAAATATCGTATGCGTAGATTGGAACCTGATAAATTTGACATAAGAAGTGTCAAAATGACATGAACAGGAACTATTATTCATGCAACAAACAAATAAGTGTAATACGTCTTACTCATCAGTAGTTTTGTGATATTAATTAAAGGCCACAAAATGTTTTCCACAAATCCGAATTACACGAAGCTCAAAACTCACTTAAGGCTGGCTATAAACCGTCTTAAACTACTTGAAAAAAAGAAAACCGAATTGGCTTTAAAAGCTCGTAAGGAAATAGCAGAATACATAGCTGCTGGTAAAACTGAACGGGCTAAAATCAGAGTGGAACATATAATCAGGTATTTAACAATCACCAGCGTGATATATAATGCTTTATTTTATTATATGTAAAATTGTGTAAACAACTTGCCTGCGAATTCTTTGTCTGAGTTTTACTTTCTAAAATACCTATTTGTTTTAGAGAGGATTACATAGTAGAAGCGATGGAGATTGTTGAAATGTACTGTGACCTGATACTAGCAAGATTTGGTCTTGTTACTCAAATGAAAGAATTAGATGAAGGTTTAGCTGAAGCCATATCAAGTCTTATTTGGGTTGCGCCACGATTGCACACTGATGTACAGGTATAATAGTTATGATAATCTTTCTCAGGGACTTTGTAGTTATATCTTGCTAATATTATAAATACAAATATTTAGATAGGTGGATGTTTGTTAGAAGGTATCTGCATAATGACATAATGTTTTTATGTAAATTGTTTACTACTTAATGCTCTACAAGTTTTATTAAAACAGTGTATGCTACTATGTAAGGAATTAAGTAATAATTAAACTGTCATAAATATAACAAATAAACACATTTGATATGATGTTTACCATATAAAAATATGTATAATAATATTACTTAAATTTGTTTTCAGGAACTTAAGATTATTTCAGATTTACTGACAGCAAAGTATGGTAAGATTTATGCAGATGCATGTCGCAGTGAGGATGTGAACACAATAAGTGACAAACTGAAGCACAAGATGTCTGTTCAGAGTCCACCAAAAATACTTGTAGAGAGATATCTGATAGAGATAGCTAAGAAATATAATGTGGAATATGAACCAGATGAACAAGTTATGAGAGAGGAAGAGGGTAAGAATTTCATAATACTGTTATTATAGACATGTCATAATATTTTATATTATAAAAGTTTTCCTTCAATTGTTTATATGTATATAACTTTGGTTTTCCCCTTTTTTAACTATCTTACTAATATTATAAATGCGAATGTTTAGGTGGATGGATGTTTGAAGATATCTCTGGTACAGATTCTTGGATCTTGATGATATTTGGCACAGATGTAGAAAATAGTTTGAAAGAACACAAAGGCTACTCTTTAAGGTTTTTTTAATTCTGTGCGGACAGAGTCTTGGGCGACATCTAGTATATAATAACTTTGGATTTCCCCTTTTTAATTATTAATAGTAAATATTAGGCATGTTAGAATTTAAATGTCTTTTGTTAAAAGTTATTTTTAAAAATAGTAATTAATTACTCCACATCTGAAATTGTAAAATCAAAGTGTCAAAAAACATGTTTAAATTGCATTTACATTGTTTTAGGTCGAGATGCATTGCTAATTGACATCAATGGTCCACCGATGCCTCCAGGGTTTATAGGTTACCCGCCTCAACCTCCCATGCCCCAGATGCCCAGCATGCCTAATTTGCCTGGTCCTACTGTGCAGCCATTTTCTTATCCTTCTGTTGTAAGTATTCTGGGTTAAACTATAAAAAAAAACAGTTGAACTTGGATAAGTGAGAAACCTTTATTGATGAGTGTAAATGTACAGTCCGGATGGACATCCACCATAAGTGAGAAATTTGAGTTAAAGAGAATCCTCTATTCTTCTTTGTCATTACAGTCTTGTCAGACTGGTCGTGGCCATCATGTATCAGTGACCCGCTTTACCAGGCGCCGCCACTCCTCCCTAGTCGCTGCCTTTTTTGTACATTGGTGCAGGGGGACATCCACAGCCACTCGGATTTGGTCGGTCCACCTCATAGGCCGATCTTCCTCATGGTCTGTTGCCCTCAACTTTCCCCTGCACCACCAAGCGCTCGATGGATTCGTCATCACATCTACAGAATCCTCTATAAGCGAGTTAAATATTGGAGTCCCTTTGACTCTTGCTTATATAAGTTCAACTGATTTATCTTGTAATGTTTGATATTTGTGTGGTTTATAAAATAAGTAATAATTGCTTATGTGTAATTTCGCTTGGTTGTACAGCATGTAATTTTTTTGTTCAATATAATAGATAATGATTGTGTAATCTCTAAACAGGTAAGTAACAAAATGAATGGATTCCTTTATTCAAAATCTGTATGTACATTGTGAGGTGGTAATTTTCGGTTGAATTAAAGTATGTGGTAATGATTAGAAAAAACTAACTCATATTTGTAATTTGCAACTATGACATTATAACATATTACAGTAGTTAATGATATCTTTGTCTTGTAGCAACCTTCAGGTGGGAAAGCTGGTGGATTTATAGCAACCCCACCAACCAATTATCCGAGTGGCCCCAGCGGTTCACCTATGAACTATAACTTGCCTCCAGGAGTTGATTCAAAGAATTTAAGTAACAGCTTCCTTCAGGTAAGAGTTTTTTTAGTGTTACATAAACATTGTATATATTTAATTCATGATTACATTTGAATGTAATTTTAATATTTAGCACAATTTTTATTTCACAAGGTTTAATATTGCACACATTTTTTGACTCATACTTTTCATGTAGTTGTTTGTAGCTTGACCTTTTTATACTAATCTGCAGATAATTTAATGTCTATTTCCACTGCGTGCTTGCCGCATAATCGCCATTTGTATGGAGACACGATTTCTATTTCCACTCGCGATAAATGATTAGTGCAAATAGGCATTATTTTGCATGAACTTGATTTTTTTTTTCATAATAATTCAGATTTCAGTTAAAGAATCATTACATTTTGTCAAGTCATAAGCAAGCGTTGGTGAATTTTATGATTCAAATGTTACAAGTTTATTTTTCTGCTTACAGGAAGAAATGCATAATCTACCGCCTGCTTATGATAGTATTGCACATGATATGGTAATTTCATTTTTTTTTTTAGTTTTAAGCATTTTGTTTCATCTAGTATTTATATAAAATACTCGTATCAATGTTACCATACTCCTCTGAAACGACTTGACAAATTTTTATGAAAGTTTATATGCACATTCAGTAGGTCTGAGAAACGGCTACTATCTATTTTTTTTAACCCGCGCAGCCGGAGTCGCGGGCAATAGGTAGTATTTCATAAACATAATAGAATAGAATGTGTAGTCAACCTTAAATGTACAGCATTATAATTAGGAATGATTTGTAAGTGTGTATTTAAAAAGTTCTTAATCCGTTTGAATTATAAATTATTCTTGAACATTTTACTTACTAACATACAAATTTTAATGATTAGACTAAATATAGGGTGTAAATTGACCTGTAATTTTAAACTATTCCGCAGCCGGCACATGTACCAACACCACAGCCAAGGTCTCGTGTACCACAGAACTATTTCCCGGAACTACCAGAGTTACCGTCCGTACCATCAGACTTGCCATTGCCCTCCGTACCACAAAGCAACGACAACACTCCTAAGGACTCCAGTGCACCTGATGAAATAGATTTTGAAGATCTCAACAGACGTTTTGAAGAGCTAAAGAAGAAAAAGTGAAGTACTCAACACTAGTGTATATTTAATTTGGCACGTTAGCAACAAGGATACTCTTCTATTTAGTGTGCCAACTTAAGTATTTGTTGTACAATGCTTGCATATTATTTGGTTATAAAATGAATTTTCGTTATAAATTGAAATAAGTTATAATTATTAACTTTTTTTTTAGGTTATAATATGTTTAATAAACAAGATTTTTTTACGCTAGATATTATATTGGTTAAAAATTAAGTTACAAGTTTCATAATAATGTTACGACAATACTTTAAATGCTTTATTTATAGAGTAAAAATATTGATGATAAAAATAAATATTAAATCTATAAAATATTTTAACGAGCATTAAACCGACATATATAATTCATAAAATGGTTATTGAAAAAATTGCTTCAGATTGCTAGTTTTACATTGATTATTAGATCTTCATTTTATTAAAATGTATGAATATATTATTGTAAATATTTAATTTAAGGACATAATTTGTACTTTAAATCTGATTATTGTAACAAATTCATTTATTCCATGCATTTTAACTACTGAAACACTTTGAAAATATATATATATTTTTAATCTCTGACGTCCTCATTGAAAAAAAAAATTAAAATGTGTTTGAGTAGTGAAAATCCAGGTGATTTTTAAATTTCCAAGGTGCATAAATAAAAGATATTTTTTTCTCTTTTCGTTTTACATTTATTATTGCTGCACGTATCGTTACAATATAAAAACGTTTATTTTTTTATTCTATTGAAGAATCAATTATAAATTATGAAAACAAAAACTTTTTTATTACCTATACCATTTGAACTATTAAAAGCTGGCATTAATAGAGTTGTTGCCACGTACAGTGTTGTGGAAACCGGGTAATACGACCGAAAAGCGTGGCTGAACGCCATAATTGCCTTAAAACTTTGACCTACACTGGACAGGCTATGTGACGTGGTGTTTTGTTTCTAATTGATTTTCGCCATTTCGGTGCTGACTAGCGGTATTGGAAACTGGTACTAATAAATAGCAGATAATAACTTCGACTGGTGCTTTTAACTCGAAACGTAGCAAAAGCTGTCGTTTTCAAGGAACATGTCCAGCGGATATCTATAGAGGAAAGTGATTATAGAAATGCAAATTGCTTACAGGTTATCGGTTATTTCGAGTAGATATGGATGAGCTTCTTCAATGTCGTTTTAACCGGTTTTTAAATGTATAATAAATTCTGAAAAAATTTCAAATTCATAGCTAAATATTGTCAGCTAGCGAATGCATACAAAATAGCTGGAATATAAAAGTAAATTTCAATCATATTATAAATAGTTTTGTGACAACTTCATAATAATCTGATAATTTCTTGGGAACAGATTGATATTTTCTTAAGGTTGGCATCACTTGTCGTGGTGTTGCAGTCTTGCTTCAGTCTGTTGTGTAGCTGAGTGTTGGAGACGATTTTCGTTTGTATTGGAAGTTTTTGTGGGGACTCAGCTAGGAGTGTTCCTAGTGCCACTAGACCTCTGCGGGAAAAAACATATTTTAAAGATTATTTTTGTTATTTTAGCAAACAAGCATACGGACAGCTGAATTTGCAGAAGTAGCGAAGTGAAGAATCATTACCATAATACAAGATGGTTTGTATTTTCAAAGATGTAACATAAATATGCAGGCGCTATTAGAAAAATGTTTAATAAAGTACTGTCTTATGAGGCATTTCGTTTTATTATATTAAAGTGTAGAAATTCCAGGAGTCATCAACACACGAATTTGATAACACATTCATAGGATATTAAAATGGATAGCATCAAGAATATCTGTAAGATAATATGTTGCCAACCCCTGACTGCTACCAATAACTTAAAATAATGTTACCTGAAATAAGCTTCGTTATCTGTAAGTCTGCTGAGGAGATGTACAATACAGTCGGTTAATTCAGCGATGTCGGGCTGCTGCGCCAGCGCCACCGACAGGTTCAGCAACAGGGACGCCGCCGCGATCTGCACATATCACAAATATTATGCCCACACAATAATACGATACTCTCGAAAAATGTGATTCAGCCACTGACTATAAATGGACAGGCTATAAGATGTGAATTTTGAGCCAATTTGATTTTTGCTCTTTTAGCGCTGACAATAGTGATTGGTAAGGGTGATGAGAATACCAACTGATAATATAGTCAAATAAGAATCTGAATTGGTAAGAGGCGCTACTATCGCGTTTGGTTGTCACAATATATATAAAACCTATTTGGACAGACAATGACATAAAATAAAATGACAGCTGCAGTACAAAGAGTATTTTGCCAATTATTTTGACATTGACAGAGGGGCGCTAGTGAGCTGTCATAATTTAGTTTGATTTATGCCGTATAAGATAATCTTGTCGGTCCATAAATCAGAACGAAGAAAAAGCTGGGCAGTGGGAACTCACACCGAGTCATGTCATACCTGTGCGTTGTTATTGAGGTGTGTGAGACAGATGATGCAGTGTATGAGGGTCTCGCGCGCCGCCAGCACCAGCATCTCGCCCGCCAGGTCACTGAACGCGTTCACCAGCACGCGCATCGCAAGCATTTGGTTGGCTGCCAAATTATCTGTAAGAATACAAAGATAAGGACTTATTGCCAAATTCAAAAATGTTTAATGATCACTATAGCAGTCTCAGATTAAATTTACTGTTAGTGAGGCAATTAAACTCCTTTTTCACTAAACAACTGCTATATTTATGGCCATCTAGACCACTCTATTGACAACTTTACTAAGATTATAAAAGCAAACGTTTGGATGGATGTTTATTTAAAGGTATCTCCAGAACGGTTGCATGGACATAAACTGTAAGAACACATAGGCTACTTTAGTATTTGTTTATTTCCGCGCGGACGGAGTCGCCGGGGACAGCTAGTAATAACATAAAAGGTGAAAATCAAACCTGGATTAAGTAAGGAGAGCAGATATTTGACAAAGTTGGGTCCATAAGTTGTGTCAAATATCTGACTATTGATTTCCTTTCTTCTTATTGCTAACCTCGTCACATCTAACACGGGGAACAGAATTTCTGGAAAATAGAAAATTTAATACATTAATATTAGAAAACAGGACTTTTATTTGTCATTATTGCTTTAGAAAAAATGATTATGAAATTTGCATTTACCTTTTGGCCATTCCAACATTTTTTTCAATAAACTAATTGTATCAGGGTTGAATGAACCATTCTGAAAACATAAACAGACATATTGTCAAACCAACAATCAATCACCATTACGATGGATGGATGCATTGATGTTTGTAAGAAGCTATCTCCGGAAGGGCTCAACGGATCTTGATGAAATTTGGCACAGATATAGAATGTAGCATGTAAATACACATAGGTTATTAAGGCATTTTTATTCCTCGCGGATGGAGTCGCCGGCGATTGCTAGTTAACATATAATTTTGGCCACAACATATGGTAAAATTTATCAGTAATCAAATTGGTTTTTATTTTAAAATATTTATTATAAAAAAGCAATACTCACCATTTCTCCTAATTTAACAATATTTTCTAGTTGCTCGTCTGTGAAGGAGTTGTTACCGTCGCCAGCCTTACCGTTGAATTCTTTTAACTTATCATATATTGCTTTTAGGTTTGCTTGATCAAATCTGAAAATGTTAAGTTACATACATTATTTAGAAACACCAACAAAGTACTACTAATGGTATGAGAAAGCACTGAACTTTTTTATGTCATCCGCTAAAAATCTACATTCGACGTCATTTTTATACAAAGGGCGAAGAGGATTGACAGCTATAAGTTTTTTTTTAATTTCCTTGATCTGAAGAGAAAACTTTGTACTCATTTTTAAGAAAATTTTAGCAACAGATGATTGTAAATTTTTTTTTTAAATCTTTTTTTTTGGGATTTTTGTCCATATCATTGTAAAATTTGACACAATTAAAAAAATTGAAAATACAAGAAATAAATATAGGCATTTGTTATGAAAGTTGATGTTGAAAGGGCGACAAGTTTATGAAAATGTATATAAATTTTAAATAAATACTGACCTGATATAAGCATCATGTGGTATGTACCGCTTGTCAGTGGCGGTTGTGACCGAGGTGTTGGATGCTGCGGCGGTGGTGTACGCGCCTGCACCAGTGAACGGGTCCATTGCGGTGACAGCACGCGTTGCGGGACCTGTCCCCGGCACGTAGCGAGACTCCCCGGTGAATGGGTCTGCGTAACTATGTCACAACATATGGAATAAGATTTAAAAAAACTTAATTAGTAACCTATGTGTTCTTCCAGACTGTGCTAGATCCGTGCAGCTGTTGTGGATACCTTATAACAACCATCCATACATCCATCCAAACATTCGCATTTATATTAGTAAAATGGTAGGTTTTTTTTAAGAAAAAAAGTTAAATTTCTAGGAATTGCAAATATATGTGCATAATGTGTGAACACTGGCATTGTAATGTCATTTGACATTGTGGGAATATTGAAATTATTTGACACAAAAAAAAATTATAAAATTTCAACTTACTCACCCGTTACTGGGCGTAGGAAGCGCGTTCAGTTTTGCGTTAGTTATTATAAAATTAGCTACTTGTTCTAAGTACACTTGGGGTAGATCGTTTCTGAAAAAAAAATAATCATAAATTTGTAATTTAGTAGTTAACTTATGTAATAGTTATATTTATTTATATATATACCTATTACATAAGTAATAGTTATTATATATTTTGTTTGTATGTAATACTTATGTATGAAGGCTTGTGCTGCTACCCAAGGGTCTTCAGTCTTGTTGTACGGCAACTTAATAGGTGGAGCACCATCTTTAATGTCTACGCTGAACACATAGTCATATTCCTGAAAAGATATATGAAAATAAAATTATATTTAAATGTAAATAATAAAGTTATTTGACCAGATAACGATAACCATGGGTTTCTGACACCAAAATCTCTGTATGAAACTTATCATCATTCCTGTCATTATCTTTAACAACACAGAGATGATAATATGTTTTAAATGGAGATAATGGACTCAGAAATCCACGGTAAGTTAAACTAAACTATGATAGGACACTAGCGCCCCTCTGACACTGACAAAAGAACCTTGTCATACTGTACCTGTTAGGTTAATTTCCTAATCCTAACTAGGTTTTACAAATTTCTTGACAGAACCAACCATAATATAAAATCCTTTTTTGACAATAATTACATTATTTTAATATAATTTAAACTAAGTGCCTGAGCAGTGCGGAAGATAAATAATTAAGAGATCCCACCTTTCCCTGGTACATAGTCTTCCCTTCGGTGGGAGGCTGTGCACCCATCACGTCGCCTACTTCATTCCAGGTGCACTCAGCTGCACTCCACGAGTAACATTTGACGTTAGTACCACGTCTCACTAACTTCGTCTGTCCGTCTGTCTTGCCCGCTTCTAACAACACTTCTGGTCCGGGTATACTAGAAATGGAAACTCCATTTTTAAAAGACACTGTATTAATCTGTTGTAGAGAAATAAGATGGCTACTTCCTTATTTTCTATCTTATAAATAAAACGTTACACAAAAGATTGAGGAAATTTAACTCGGGAAATGGAATCGTTTTAAGGCAATATAAAATATTTAAGACTGTATGTGAGCTAAGATTTTACTTAATAATGACTTACTCTGAAAGTTTATAGCCTCCGATTTCTTGCTTAGCAGCAAACTGCATTTTCTCAACTTCCTCTTCAAATGTTTTGATGGTTGCTTCATCAGCATACCTTGCTGGATCCTTTGTGAATACCCGGATTACACCATCGCTTGACCCTGAAGTTATAATAATTTTATGATTTTTTAATTATTTTTTACATTATTTATTTGTATTATTAAACTTCACCCTAACTTAGGGTAGGCTCTGAGCCCCTCAGTGGGCACATATAGAAAGCTGGTGATGATGATGAATATTAAAGTTGTAAGTTTCGCACTTATGGATGTCATCCGTCCTGAATAGACAGTGACTCTTATAGAGGTTTCTCTTTATCCAGGTTCGACTAAATGACTATATAGGTTTGACTGTATACCTGTAACAATATCGCCATTATCCAAGCATGTGACACTCCAAACAGACTGTACTGGTAGGTGTATCTCTCTGACACAATCTCCGTTAGACCACAGTCTCACAGTGCCATCCTCACCACATGTTGTGAAGCTGTTGGGCACCCCAGGGTTGATACAAATACTGGAATATATGAAAAAATGGAATATATAAACACATTATTAAATATTTTGTGTACAAAAAAAATTGATCATGGTAATTAACCTACAAATGGTCAATTTTGTCACTGATTTTATAACTTTCATGCTAACAACTTTGTATGTTAATAATTTTTTTTATTTAAATCAAATTGGACTCAGCCTAATGGCAAAGATCAACTGAAAATATAAACAGAACCTCACCTATAAATATAATTGGAGTGCCCATAGTAAGTATTAAGTCTCTCTCCTTTATTAGTCCACAATCTGACAGTGGCATCATTGGAACAACTCAGAAATACCTCAGCAGTAGCCACAGCTAGATCTCGCACACAATCTGTATGACCTACAACAAGGTTATAGTTATTATCTTAATGGTAACATAGTCCTCGGGTTTTTACAACAGTGAGGAAACAAAAATTATTTTTCTATTAAGTTAAATTGTTATTTAAATACTTTTTTTTTGTCAAATGTGGTAAAAGATCAAGTGACCACTTTAGTAAAATGAACAAATGAATGAGTGTTTCACATTGAGCTAATCAGTCTACATTTTAATTTGGTCTGATAGGTATACTTTTTGATTTTTTAATTGGATTTACTATAGCAGGTCAATGAGCCCATCAGGAAACAGTCAAATGCATAAAATAGGGTACATTTCCCCCATCCAACCTCTTAATAACAAATCCACCCCCCTTTCCAGTGATATTAGTTTCACCAAAAAACATACCTGTTAATGTTGATATGCCACTACCATCTTTCTTCCATAACTTAATTGTTTTATCTGCAGATGCTGTTGCATATGTCCCATTACCAAGTTCTACTATTGCCCACACAGCAGCTTGGTGACCCTTGAGTGTTAGAGGTTCTGAATGAATGTTGTTGATATTCCATACCTTAGCAGTATTATCCCAACTAGAACTGTAAGTAATTATATTATATAACTTTACAAAATATAATAAAGTATATTGGTTTGTATGAAAAATTCGTCTAAGAAGTATAACATGTTTCTTGCCACCATATAGGCTGCCAAGTAAAAAAAAATTGTTAAAAATATTTAATTCAGTTTCTAATATCAAAATACCTTAGGAGTATTCCTGAATCTCGGCTTGTTGCAATACTGCACACAGCGTTCTCATGTCCTTTTAAAGTTAAAAGAATTGTTCCATCTTGTAAATTGTAACCAATAATTGTATTGTCATTGCTTCCAGTTATAACAAGACCATCAGGAAAAGCTTCACAAGGCGAGAACCAGCACACGCATGATACAAAGTTGTTGTGGCCCTTGTATGTGACGACATTTACAAAATCTTTTACTCTGTGAAAATACAGAAACTCAGTTTTAGTATGAGACAAACCATGGTCACACACAATATGGCTTTAAATAGAGTTAAGTTATATTCTAATGTTTGAATAACTTCCATTGTATTGGTATTGTTATCAACAATCTTATTGGAAAACTAACCCTTCTGGATGCCATAATTTTGCAGTTCTATCACGGGAGCCAGATAAAATACAAGATTCTTTGGTTATTGCTACACATCGCACATCAAGTGAGTGCCCACATAATACAGTACTAAGTTTATAATCAGGTATAGCCATCGGAACGTATGTATTTTGTGAATAAAATAAGCACAAAGATCAAATAACGGCAAATCGCTTTTTCGCAATGAACATTAAACAACAATGGCCGAATAAGTTGTCATGTCATGTCATGTTGACAAACTCTCCAAATTGACATTGTCATTGTTCACAGGTTAAGAAGATACAGATAGTTTAAAAAATCGGAACAGGTTGACAGTAATAGTTAGTATTAGAAAAAAAAGAGTGCCTTATTCATTTTTCAGACATGGTAATTTGTTGTGTCTTTATCAATTTGTAAATACAAATAACAACAATATGAGTATGTTTTGACAAGAGAACATTCAGGCTGGCTGTATTCATTTTATATGAACGGTTTTACCTTTACTATTAAACCGTTCATAAGTAATATCCTAAAAGTCTTTAAAATTATTAAGTCTAAAAATTTAGATAGAATATTGTGATATATTGCCAATAATCGGTACCTATTTATCATATAGGATAGGCAATATTTTATTCTTATCTCACACAGTAAGTACTATGATAAAATGAATGCAACCTTATGCATATTTGACACGTCTTTTTAGATGCCAACATTATAGATGTATAAAACCGCGCGAAATTAGAACGAGCTTATCATTTTCAAAATGCGTAGCAAATATTTAAATGTTTAAATTTCAATACAAGTTAAATTGTCAGAAATTTTGCTAAATATACTTTAATATTATTACTATGTTTTCTCAATAGTGAGTCTTTTTCATAAATAGCTTGCAACGTGAATAACGAAATACTGTAATATTTACATAAAGCTACTATTAATGCGTAAAGTTTAGTATTTTATTCTTTACAATATTGTAAAATGTTTTATGGCGCCAGTGAGACTAATCCCGGTATAATTTAGTTATACATACGTACCGTAGTAGTCATTGCTCTTTGGGAGGGTGTACACAAGTAGTGTAAAGATGGCGTCGACGGTGTGTGTTTCTAGATGCCGACTTTTAGCGAAATTAGAAATAAATCGTGGTTTGTGTTTATCATCAATATTTAGTGATCTGTCGAATAGCAGAGTAAGTATTTAATTATTTCAGTTGAATGATATAATTATATTGTATTGTTTCATAGATGATTGTCATTTCGGCACAATTTTAATAGGCACGTGTGTATAGATAAAGATATTTATTTTTAAAGTAGCTGTCAAACGTCACTAAAAATGTTGTTTTTAATTTTGATAATATTTAGTAAGAATTGGTATATTTACTCACTTTTTCCTTAAGTAATAAAAGTTAATAATGTTCAGCTATAGATAACGGCAGTATTTGAAAAGAACAGTAATTCAAATAGAAACCAATAAGAGCCTATTCAGAAGTTGCTAAATAAGAAAACTTTCTTGATTGTCATTTTTTGTATAAGTTATCGTGTTAAGTGAGTGATCATGTGATTTCAATTGAGATTTATTTCTGTTGAAATTTAAAAATGTCTGCTAATAAAATATATTTATGCATTTAAAAATTATTAAATGTCTAGCATATAACACATATTGATTTAATTTCTTTTTTACTCTTTATATTACGTAAATTTGATTACTATTACTAGGAATACAGAAATAAATATAGTTTCCTAGTTTTTGACCTTTGAATCCTGCTGTATTTGATTTTCATGAACACTATCATTTGCTTTACCGCAAAGGAAAACCCTTACCCTACATTGTAATATAATCCATGTAAAATATATGAAATAAATGCTTACTTTAATAAATTCAACAATTCATCTGAAATTGACTGCCTTTACTATCCACTCCAAAGTATACCGGCAACTTCTGATTTAGAAGAGAATCTGATTTTGCCATAAAGTACTATTTAATTAATAGTCTTATTAAAATAGTTTTATAATCTTTAATGTCATCTCTTATATTTAATATTTTATAAATAAAGTGATAGCAAAAAAATATGCATTAGAACTATCAACGTATAATCACATTGTATATGTAATATATTTTTAAGTATTTAGTAGGTACTATTTATAAGGAAATTAGGTTAAACAAATTGCTAAACTTTGCAATAACAAAATGATAATGGTAATTAGGAAACATGTTCATATTTAGGTAATTAGCTATAGAATCATAGCTAATGCATTATAATTGATGGTTATTTCCAGAATGTTTTTTGAAGAAACAATTGAATATTTGAAGAAACTATTTAAAATTAGAAAAAATGCTGCATTTGTCTAATTAAATACAAATAAAAGATAGAACTTATTTGATCATTTCTGTTATTATTTTCATAGTATAACCACTTTCTTCTTACAATTGATAATATAAACAAACAGATGAATGTGATATGAATCTAATACCACTGTTACTATTCAAATCACATTGTTATTGCTAGTTTTAGGTGGAGGACATTGTCATTGAATGATTTTGTATATTACATAGACCAATCCCAAATAGCAGATAATGATGTGGACACACTAGTATCATGTCATCAACATTATTTTAGTGTTACTCATGTACTGTATATTTTTTACATTTCTTTGCCAACTAATGATTCACCATACAAGTTATTGTGTTCTTTCCAAGAAATTATTTGTTTGATAATTTTTGAAATTATCGTAATATATGAAATAGTATATAAATTTCCTTTTAATATATGTAATTTATTTTTGAACCATTGATGCTCTTTTATACATGTGCCAAATAAAAAACTATCTATTAAAAATTGAAACTATATTCTTTACGTCATAATTAGTCCTAGTGTGACTCTAGCTTTATCAGGGCATTCGTCCCACGTCTTAGATTATGATAGTAGTCACGTAACATCAATCTTATCGCTGATACGTATTTTATGTAACGTAACCGATTAATTCTGTTTTAATTGGTTCCTGATACAATCAAGATTAATTGATAAGTTTCATTCATAAAATGTCTTCAAACTACGATTCAAATAACTTCGTTACGACATCGTTGTAAGTACAATAAATATGAAAAAAAACTTGGAAGCAATATATTAATGGTTTTAGTGATTACATGAATGGATGGTTATGTATGAAAAGTACGCTTAATAAAAAAATGAATGAAAAAAAATAAACGAGAGGTTATTACATATATAATTTTGTCACTTTATTATATCCTCTTATCACCTTAATATATCTTAGACTTTTGTGAAGACTCAATTACTTTTGATGTTCACTAATTTACTTACTGTACTTTAAGAAAATAGAGTCTGGGGCCAAAACAAGTTTTAGAAACGCTCTTTACCAAACAAATACAGTTAAAAAGAACGTAGTTTTTTTTTATTCACAGGAGTCGTGGTGCCGGCGCTGGCGACCAACACGGCGTTCCATCTTCACAAGCGCTTGTGCTCACGGATCTAAAAATGCTCCTACAAAATTGGAACCAGAGAAATCTGAGGGTAAGATTACTTTAGACAATGAAACGCAACATAAGTAACTATTCATTTATTAAAAATACTGAGGAAACCATCACCAAAACTACAATGCGTTTACAGGGCGTTGTTCGAGAATGTTACTGACTAATATATAATTTGATATCCTAACATAACATTCATGAATAAGCTAAATACTTTTAAGTCCATTGTTAAATTTACAAGCAATAATTTAATAGCGTTCTTTGATAACAGATCACATTTAATGTTTGCAACAGATTAAAAAAATATGTTAAATTACTTTAATGACTTATTGCTATTTAAACTATCATAGCATGATTCTAAAACTTCAAATTCTTCAAAAACCATTTCTCCAAATTTTCCTGTTGGTACATTCTTTTGGTTTAAATTTTCGTTAAGGTAATAGAACTTTTTTTCGAAACTATGTGCATCGTTGGTGTTCTGTTTATCAGATTGTACCAGATTTTTTTGGCTCTCTTCAGCTTCGTGCTCTTTATCTGTTTTCAAATGTTCGTTGTAATTCGAAGAATGTATTGAGATTTCTTCTTTCTCTTCGCTCACTTTGTTTACCTGGGGCCTTAGGTTTAAGTTTAATTTCTTATCTTCGTTGTTGTTATTTTCAAACGGGGTCTTAACTATTCCTTTATTGTAACTTTCTAAACGACAAATTTTGTTCTTAACGGAATTGTCCTCGTCGTGAACTAATGGAGGATCCTCTGTAGATCGCTGTTTTCTGTACTTTAGTCTAGGGTTTTGACTTTCATCGGTTCCTGTTAATTCCAAACGACTGCTGCAACTGTTTGATTTGACGAGCTTAAATTTAAAACCCGGAAATCCATCAGAGCGTTTGGTATTATCATAACTTTCTTGATTTAACCTTTCTTCTGAAATATTCAAATTTTGCTTGTCGGTGATCATTTGCGCGTGTCTGTCAGCTACAAGACACGAACATTTGTTACCTTTGCATTTAGTTTGACATGAGTAGCAATCTCTGCTGCAGTTTTTTTGCAAACTTTTTATTTCATCCATTATAGCTTTGGTCATCGGACTTACTGATGATCCTGTTTTGGAATTTAAAACTTTTCCTCCATAATATGTTATAGATGTTCCACAGTCCCTTATTTTTTTTAGAATGTCAGGACTTACATATTGACTCTCGCAACAAAAATCTTGGCTCATTGAGTCGTATAGATATTCGTCACTGGAGCTATATACGTTATCTTTTAAATTCTTTGAGTAGGGACCGTCTTGATCAAATTCATTATTAGAACTTAAGTCACCGCTTGAAACACCACTTGAAAGACTTGCATTATCCCATTTTTTGTTTCCAATATTAGTGTCAATTGTTAATTGACGTGTTACTTTCTTTCTTCCACCAATCTTATTTGTTTTATTTTCTTCACTTATATTTCTGTAGGACGTTGCCCTTCTTGTCAGTCTATTGTTTTCATTAACAAGCGGTGGATCTTGACTTACCGGGGATTTCATTTTTAAAGTATCTTCAAATAAATTCCGTACCTTCTTTACTGTATCTGGATTTGGAAGTTCTTCTTCTATGATTTCTTTATTTACCCTAATTGGATGATAAAAGAAATGACGCTTTATAGCATTTTTGGACTTATCTATCTGACCTGAATTATCATTTTTTTTCAAAAGTGATGACGGAATTTTACAAGGGTCGAGGTTGTTGTTTTTCTTTGGCGTAGGTTCCACCTTAGTTCTTACTGGCTCTATAATTACAATGTTGTTATTTACTAATAATTCTTGAAAGCTGTAATCTTGTAAATATTGTAACAAACCGTCAAATTGTGCTTCTTTTCGGTAATTAGCAATCATACTATTCTTAAATAGTTCAGACTTCATTACTTTATATCGAACATGGTCGAATTCGTCGCATCCCTTTTCGTATCCCTTAGCTTTTATAATAGTTGCTTGAGTTTTTTGATTTTGGTCATCCTCACTACTTAATTCCACTATTTCGATTTCAGGGGTGTCTCGACTTATATCTTGGTGCGCTTCTTTCGTTATTTTAGTGGCTTTAGGTGTGTCGTAAATGGTCCCTTCGCTCTCTTTTTTAATTTTTTGTACAGTCGGTTCTTCTATTTCAGAATCACTTTTTACCTTTTCTGTTTCTTCTTTCCACAATTGCAACTTTTTTGTTGATTGACTTATTTTTTTAATACTGTCGACAATTTTAACACTTTCTAAAGATTTGATTATGCTCCCTACAGATATCTCTGGTACATATTTTGTATCGTCATTTTTTGTCACCGTTACTTCCACATTCGTCGTTATATTATCTGGTGAACTTTTCTCATTTTCTGTTACTTCCTGTTTTAAGTGATCTTCTGTTGGTTTTTCGATTAATTTCGACCAATAACTTTTAACCGAATTAATTTTTTCTTGGTATTCGAGATCTGTTTTTATAGCATTGTGTAATTTTTCTTTTACTGTAAAGTCATTTTTGTTGTCATTCTTATTTTCGATGTGGTCATCTTTCTTTTCCGGTTTTTCATTGTTATTAGCTTTATTAACTGTGTTACTGATTTCACTACTGCTACTTTCAGTACTGTTGTTAGATGATACAATTTTGTTTTTTGAATCAACCACTCGTATTACTTGAGGTCGTGTCATTTTATTTGTGGCTTTAGTATATGTTGATGTAAAGGCACTATTATTACTATCTTTGATTATTAATTTGCTCGGAGGTTTATCAATTTTAACTTCCTCTATAACGGGTTGGTCTGGTATTTTGTTCGTGAGTTTTGGTATGGTTTTTTTCACAACTTTATTTAGTTTTATTGTAATAAATGGATCTGTTGGAATGTAGAAATTTGCTGTTTCAATAGGTCCCAATGAATTATGCTTTATTTCTTCTTCTGCTTTTTCTTCTTTATTTACTTTTTGTAAAATTTCGGACGTGTAGTTCACACTACTACTATTTATGTGGGTAAGATCTGTAACACTTTTTGTAATTGGTGGATCTATGACTATTGTTTGATGTCCACTAAGTGGTAATATAGTAATATTCGATTCCGACGAAGTCTTAAATGACTGCACTCGTGATAAAAGAGAATTAGTTTTCACTTCTTCGGGAATTTTAGTTTTCACTTTTTCAGTTTCAATACAATTATGTAATGTTTTCTCTACTGTATCTGGACTTGGAATTCGGATATTGTCATTAGAAGGATCTCTTTGGCGTAGTGAATAATGTTTTCTTATATTGGTTTTCTTGTTTTTATCTAATACAGACTTGTTGATGTTATCGTTTGATAAGGACTTCGATATTTTGATGTCTGGTCGTAGTACCGAACTTGAAAGCTTTAAACTTTCTGCTTTCGTAATAATTTTATTATTTCGTATCGTTCCTTCTATTTCATTGATTTCCCTTTCGTTTTGATGGTGAACACCTGAATTGTAATAATTTATGTCGTGGTCATCAACGTTAGAGCTTTCTATTGTTACAATAGATTCTAAATCATCATCTAATTTTGTGAAGCTATTTAATATATTCGCTTCCTTATATTCTGGTACGTAAACAGCTGTATTTGTTGCAGGCTGAGGAGACGGATTGTAAGGTCTATTCAAATGACCGTATTGTTCACTGCTTTTTGCAGCTAATATTTCTTTAAAATTGGTGTGAGCTATTTCATAAGTGTTTTCGCACGGTATGTCTTCTTTGTCTTCTTCCCTTAATTGAGCATCTATTCGTTCAGATTTTCTTAAACACTTACTTATATTAATATCAGGCAAAGAGTAGTATTGATTTTCTATTAATGTGGTTACAAACGGTTCTGTAGTTATATTTCTGGTAGATGTACAACTGTTTTTCTTATTTTTATTTTCTATGTATGTGTTGTTAACGTATATCTCGTTACTTGGACTTTTATTTTGTCTATTTTTAAGTGAATCTTTCTTTATGTCAGCGAATGTTTTTTTCTGTACTTTTGTATAAATGGGGTCCGTATCAGAATTTTTATGGTAATCTGTGTTAATATTGTTAGAAATTACTGAGTTATTTTCATTAAAATGTGTGTCACAATATTCGTCTATTTTCTCAGCCAAGGAATTGGCAAGGTGCTCTAATTTTTGAGACTTATCAGTTGATGATGCTATGGAGATTGATATATATGACGTTATACTATCCGGTGGACTGGAGATAGTTCCGTCGTTCTCTGATAGAACTGATTGTAAATCTATATCTTTATCTTCTGAAGTATTAGTACCATTTACGACTGCTAGATCGTAAATTTCTTGTATTGGGCTTTTATTACTCCTGATTGAAATCTCGTCATATGAATCGTCTTTATCGTGTATCAATATAGAATCATCTACGCATTTGTCGCTTCGGCCGATAGAAATGTTCTCTTCAGTGTGAAATGGAGATTTATTCTTAGATCTGGTTTCTTCTTCGATTTCACCGTTGTGGCCGTTGTTAGCAATGTAAAGTTCTTTGTTATTAATATTTCCCGAAGTAATGGAGTGTTCAGTATCCGAATTTTCTTTGTAACCTTTTAGATGCTCTTCAAAGTTGTAGTGCTTTCGGACGTAGTTTGAATCTAAGCTATCTATCTCACTTGGGTTTCGCGAGTGGCCGATACTGTCTTCAGAGAGATTAGTTTGTTTAGATTCTTCGATTAAATTGGGCCAACTTCCTCCAATAGACTGTGATCGTCGGCTTTCGTTCTGCGATATGGCGTCTTCTTTTCCAGATCCGTTTTGGACTTTGTCGTCTTGAATGTCGTCTACCTTCGATCTGTTTATATCGCCGAAGCAAGAAGCAGTGCTGTCTATGTAAATGCCTTCTAAGACTTCCTCTTTCGTTTGATATTTAGCACGAACAGGTAACCTAAAAAACACAAGAAAGTTTTATTTAAATACATTTTTACTACGGTGCAAATATTATATGATTGCAAAATATTTGTTATACGTGGATATTTTAATGTGAAAAGTCTTACCTGTCTCTAAAGCAAGGTTTATCGAACAAACGAGCGCGTGGTATGAGC